GAAACTACAAGTTAGATGGTATAACACATGTTTTTAAAACGTTACACACACTTGTAACTTACGTAGGTTATATATTAAACACTGTTAGGAGCACCTTTGTAGCTGGGCAATAATCAAACTATCTATACAAGTTAGATGATACATACATGTTTTTTTTAAACGTTCTGGGCAATATGTATTGTTTAATGGTCGAGAGCGAGACATTAAGTAATATATTGTAACAACAAGAGGACCGTCAGGTCCGAGTGTTTTTACAATATATTACGCAATGTCTCAGCTCGAGACCATTAAACATCTTAAAATACAGACACTCCGCACGTGCGTTTACAGTGAAATACGTCACTCGAGTCTAATATTTGACAAGGTACGATTGGCAAGTTGCCCGTACGATTATTTGAAATAATGGTGCGCCAACATCAAAGGGTGACGTCACATCTGTATTTTAAACATTGTTAAGAGTACCCCCTTAGTTTGACAAGGGTAATCCTGGGCTCTTGGAAACTATATCTTCATTTAAGCCTCAAGGTGTCTCGTCCACCCTCTCGGCCTCTAGCCAGGCCCGTAAGTTTCGTGTTAAACATGAACGTCGAACAAATTTATAATTTTTATACTTCTACCTAGCAACCATCGTTATGACGTCGTTTGTGCTCAATTTGGAGATCAGGAACATTATGTTGATACAAACGACTCGCTCTCCGTCGCGTTGAATGGTTTGGCGAAGTGTTAAAATTGAAAACAACATCGAACGTGATATGGTTTGCAAATACTATTTCAAACATAAGCTAAACAGCATTTGTCCGTTCATTTTTTTTTAAGACAAGTGTATGATTTGGAGAAATTTATTTAATTTTTTTTTCACAGTTAAGCCAAATGATATTTATATACTCTTGGTCTATATTCTTTTTATACCGTCCAAACGACTAGCCACTGTCCGTGCCAGACCCCCGTCCTGTATCAATGACAAGGGAGGGAGAACCACGCCGGAAGATATCGGTTATATCATAGAAATATATATGGTGTAAATCCGTCTTCATTAGCCCAGTTGGTGTAGAAAAGTGGGATTATAAACCCCATTTCATTTTGGTTTAATGTCGCTTTATGCAACTTGAATAATATATTGTTGGTAAAAAACTACCATAAAGTCAGGTCTGTATAATGAAGGCATCAGAAATAGAAACTTCAACGCTATCCGTATGAACAGATTATCCCAGTCCCTTTCATCCCCACAATATGGGGTTTCTAAATTTATATCTTTGAACCAGTTCAAGAAAAAGTTTATCATTATAAAGTGATATTTTTGTTAGAGCAGTAATAGAATATAGGTCAACATATTTTAATATTGGCTTAACTGTAAAAAAAATTAAGTCAAATTCTCCAAACCCTTCACTTATCTTCAAAAACAAATATGGAAAAATGTTGTTTAGCTTATATTTGAAATAGTATTTACCAACCATATCACGTTCACGTTTGATGTTGTTTTCAATTTCAGCACCGATTCCCAAGTAGTTGTATGTGACAAGGAGTTGGTTTTCTCCGGGTCCTCCCACTGCTAAAGACCCATACGTGCAAGCGAATTATTGAAATAAAATTGAACCATGTTAGTCCCGAAATGACCTAGATTGTGTCGAGTTAACGTTAAACCCCATTTCAATTCAGCACTCCGTCCAACCATTTAACCAGACGAAGAGCGAGTCGTTTATATCAAAACAATGGTCCCGAACAGGTACTCAATCACCAAATGAGCACGCAGTGGCAACACCAAACGACTTCATAATGATGGTTGAATATATAAAGAAGTTGGATTATACATTGTCTTAATTTAAACCTTACATGAATAGTGAAGTTAGAAATTACATGACTTGGATGTTAAAAATTACACGAATAGAAGTTAGAAATTAAGAGATGTTAGAATTTACACTGAACATATAAAGAAGTTGGATTTATTTATACATTGTCTTAATTTAAAACTAGTGAAGTTAGAAATTACATGACTTGGAAGTTAAAAATTACAAGAATAGAAGTTAGAAATTAAGACAACATGTTAGAATTTTGAATCTTATATCCCACTATAGGCGTACGGGCCGGTTTTACTTGGGATGGGGGTAGGAGGGGCTGTATCATATTTGCCCGAAAAATATGGCGGCAGTACCCGAAAAATGAACATACGTAACCTTACCAGATAGCGCCCCATCAACAATCAGAGAAATTCCCCAAGAACTAAAATGTTTACATTGACTGATCTCATAGTGTATTATTCAGCACTACACCTAATTAATAATTATCATATACATGTATATATGCATGGTCTATTCCCATCTTCATTAGACAGATCCATGCAGAAAGGATAAGCCATTTCATTTCTATCTTGTGTCGGATCAGTTGTCTTGATAAAAAGAATGGTTACCACCCCCTACCTCCACTCTACCCAATAAAAAAAGAAGAATTGATATAATGATAGGTCAAGATGATTTATTATACATTCATTGTACAATACACAATCGTGGATCTCGGGGTAAATATTAACATTATGGTACATACTATATACATCTAATATAGGAAATTATAAATAATTTATATCTTATTATACATTTTATTTTAGTGACACATCCAGGACCGATCGTAATTAAATGCTGTCATCTTCGCACACTGGCCATAAGTAGAAACATAATTGTATCCTTGTCTTAACAGATCAACCAGGTTTTAAGCACAATAGCAACCGTTTTATATTAATACAATAGAAACTGACTCTTATAAACTAATAGTGTCCAGTCCAAATGATTAACTTTTGAAAATCTACTTACAGGAGACAAATTTCAAAGGAAAGTGAATGGAAATTAATCTAGATTAAAATAAATTAAATTATCCCTGTTTGCTTTCTTAAAAAAAAAAAAAAATACAGAATAAAAATATTGTTAATTTACAAAAAAAACATAATCTGTGTTGTGACATATTAATAAATAATAAAAGCTGGCTACAAAAATGGGGTGAATTTTTCAATGTCATCTAAAAAACCTTGTCAACCACTGATATTTGTACTAGTTCGCCCATATCTCATTATCTGGGTGAGATAGTATTCATCAAATAATCTTGATCAATCTTTTAAAAATACATTTTGACTTAGATTACATAATAACAAACGATATTATGCACAAATATATATATACAAATATGTAAAATATTGAAGGGTTGAATTAACCACATTAATATGAATCAACACAAAGGCTAATGACAACATTTATTCAGCTTCACAGTATAGACAATAATATTAACAGTATTTAATTTTACTGATTACCGTTTAACTCGTCATCATAAATTTGATTTAACTATATCAGTAAAAACACGTGTCTTGTTTAAATATTTTAGGATCTTATTATTTAGGGATTCCTGAGAATGTACTTTTTTATTATTACGCATACTGCTGTACAGTCTTCGTGAAAGTTTTTAGTATTTCATAATCTTAAAGAATCTTCCATCATTTTTCTAACATTTCAGAAACTATTCTTTAAAGTTATATAAAGATTTTCATACTTATTGAATTTCAACTTTTATCTTAAAGTCTCTGATCACCACTTGAGGGATTGTTAATCCAATGCAAACAACAATGTTGTGAAAGCTGAATCTTGTAAAAGGAATATTTAAAAAATGATTTAAAACTTGTCAACATTCCACATTTACTGCAGACGATATATAGTGAACACAAGTCAGCACCAACTACAATTTTCACTAAAATCTTTTGTTGATTTGCCTCTGATACTTTGATTTTGTCTTCACAAAATCAAAGTAGGTTAAGCTGTGAAGAATTTGATATTGTCCAAAAAATGCCAATGACAATCAGCGAATTTTGATATAAATTCTAGAATATAAAGAATTTGATATGTCTTAATCTATGTTAAATAATTAAACAGAAGTATCTAATAACTACACTTTCAATTGTTTTGATTTACATACATAATTTGCATGCTTATTTTGATAATAATCTCTCTTTAGAAGTAGAGCTTACATAAACAACACAGTTTATATACATTTAGGACTGGTTTATTCGCATACTATTTTCAAATCACATACATATTTAACTGTACAAGTGTCAAAAATAGTATGTGAATAAACCAGAATATATTCAAATAAACTGAATGTGTTTGAAAAATACTATGTGAATCAACTAGAATTAAACATACATTATGCAAGAGCTAAATCTGTCTATTGCAGGTCTTTCTTTACGCCTGAAATGTTATCTAAATTATTAATTAGACATTTTAATTAACTTATCCAGACCATAATCGACTCTAGATGGCATCGCTAGCCTGCGATCTTAAGTGGATTGTGAGCCGATTTACTGCATAACTTTCCTTCTTGATTAAACGATTAAATAGATAATCGAGACTATGCTGTTTATCGTACTGACTTTAGTAATGATGACCGAGGCAAGGCGGAAATTTCATTCACTTAGTTTTTGGTTCATAGTGGATCAATTTGAATGAAATTTCCAGCAAATTGCCTTTACGTTATCTAGTTTTTAACTATTATAGTGAGAACTGCCAACTCGTTATCGAATCTCCCATAATGTATCTTTAAGTATATCCATAAAAATTGGATTACATTATATATATTTTCAAAATGTTCTGAATGACAATTTTTGAAACAATTTCTGAAAGAAATTCTAAATCTTAAAACATATATATAAATAATAATATTAACAAAATATTACACTACAAGCTTGAATTCTATCTTATAAGCTTTAGGTTAAATATACTCTAAACATATCCACTATGCTGATATATATATATATATATATATATATATATATATATATATATATATATATATATATATATATATATATATATATATATATATATATAAAATTTGGCAGCTGAAGAATAGAATTAGGAGATTGGTGTTTAATTTATCACAAGTACTGTCAAACATTGCACTATATATATATATATATATATATATATATATATATATATATATATATATATATATATATATATATATATATATATATATAAAATTTTGCAGCTGAAGAATAGAATTAGGAGATTAGTGTTTAATTTATCACAAGTACTGTCAAACATTGCACTATAAATAATTGTAGATAGTCTATAAGTTTTCTTTCTATGTGGATATTTGATAGAAGTCTGAATTAACAGACATGACACCGGGATGATTGACGGAGCCTGTTAAACTGTTCTGTCGATCAAAATGAGTGCTGTCGTAACTCGTGGAATAATGATCATCTTTATCATAACCTGTATGACACGGCATACTGACAGTATCCTCTTCATTTAATTCATCTACTTGATGTTTATAAGAAAATAATATACTTGGCTGTGTAACACTATAAAGAAATTTTTGTATATACAATGTATACATAAATAAAAGACAACATATAATAAGATACAGATTTAAATTTCATTTCATTTTTTTATACTTTCAATTCAATGTCCCATAATACATACAATTCTGACAGGTTTAAAAGGATGTCAAGTTACAGACTTTGACTGGATTATGTAGACTACTCATATTTAACTCTTGTTTTATTCTCTACTGCTCTATACAGATCTCTCCCTCCTATAATTTACACCTTGCGTATAACTCAACAAAACAGAATATTTCATTGGCTATTTGCTCACATCTAGTAAAAAGTGTTTCAGATACTATATAAATTAATATGAAAACCAGATAAAAATACTTTTGTCCTTGAGGAGTATAGAAGAAATCTAGGCAATAATTCGATTACACAATTGGGTAATAAAATCATGTTGATTACAAATCACCTATCCAACTGGTATAAATTATAATTAAATATATACAGTTTTTACCTGAAGAATTCCCTCAAGAATGTCACATACACCATGGGATCATAGATAGTAAAATATAAATATGTTGTTATATCCACTACACTGAAACAATATTAAAAAAAAATCAATAAATTATATGGATATCACTGCAAAAAAAGATCTATATAATGCCTTGAAAACTAGAACAAATTCTGGAATTAAGCTCTGTTAAAATTGGCGATCTTTAAAAGAATGCTCAAAATCTTATGGAGTTCCTTTAATCTTATGTCCACCAGACGCAACAACAACTACTTCAACCATAATGGTCTTTGCACCAAAGTCAAAACTATATGACATCACCATGCAAAGCATACATGTAACATCTGGCTTGGAAACAAAGGAACAAATGATTTACAATAACATGATACAATTCAAAAAAGAGAATTAAAGAACGTGTATTGGACACATAACAATCAATTAAAATTAGATCTTATTTGGTTTTGGTTTTATTTTTGTGTTTGTTATATTAAGATCATTTCGACCAGAGATCATACTGGGACAAGCGCAATAGAAATCCATCAGAAATAAAAGTGACATTTAGATTTTATTTTAACTGGACTGATACTAACTGGGACTTATGCATACAGCAAACGGTGATAAATGATTGTTTAATAAAAACTGTTCAATAGTTACCATCGTCCATTGTCCACACTGTAGTAAATGAGTGCACTACCAATCGCTTGGGTTACATTCAATATAGCCAGAGCTAAACAATAGTAATAGAATGATGTCTTGGCTGAAACAAATATTCATATAGTTATATAGGATCTAACCTTAAGATAAATTTATTGGAAAGAAACTGACTGGGGTTTTTAAATAACTACCGGATCTCAAATTCCTAGGAAGGGAGTGGACTGAGGTTTTAAACAAATTCGCCAAACTTTCTATTTGTCAGTTCAAACCATAGTCAAGTAGTTTTGGTTATTTCAGTTTTAGACAATAGTTTCAGATTGGTTAATGAACCTGGTAAAAAAAACTGTTAGTAATGGTTAATGAACCTGATCAAAACCCCTAAAAGTAAGGGGTCAACTATTCTAAGTTGAAATTCGCGGCCATTTGTTGGTTTCTAAATCTTGGGCTTATCACAATTCTACCAACCAAGGAAATCAATATTGAATCCATTTGAAACCTTAAGTTTGAAACCAAATAAAGAGCAATGAAAGAACCAAATATTACTAAATTAAAAACTTACAAGGTAAAGCGAGTCGTTTTTTGATACCCGTCCATGGTAAAATAAATATGACAGAATATACCTGAAATATGCAATCATATTAACAAAACTGTTAAAAATTGTTTTAATAATAAAAAAGATAGGTTGCCAGGCAAAAACCATATGCCCACAGCAGCTAAATCGCCCATGCAGTCAACAAGAGTTGTCACATATTTTTACTTTTGTCGGTAATGAAACATTTATAATACACTAAAATCTGATTAAGAGTAATAACACATAAGTAATCATCAGAAAATCATTAGAATTTGTTTGGCCAATGCTAATGTTAAGTATATAAAACATTTATGGATTTAGTTGTTCAAGTTTTCAAAAATCATTGAAAATTAATTGTTCGTCTCAAGGCCTTAAACTCTGTGCATACATCTAAAGTCAATCAAAACGATTCTATATAGGCGTAAACACGGTGTATAAATATAAAATCAATCAGATGATAACTATGGTCATAAAGCATCCACAAAATTTTTCAATGTGATCAAGGGCCATAATTCTGTCAAACGGATATTAACTTTAGCCTCTAGAGCGTCCACAAGATTTTTCAAAGAGATCAAGGGCCATAACTCTGGCAGTAATTATCGGAAATCGGTGAAAATTAATAGGCTTTTTCGTCTCATGACCTTAAACACTGTGTGTAAATTTAAAGTCAATGGGGTATTAACTTTAGCCTCTAAAGCTGTCAAACCAACCATGTGATGTAAACAATTAGCCATGTGGCATGAATTAGGTCACAGCGTACTGTTCAGTATGAGTGAATTTATGCGACGGTTTTGTGTACTAAATGTTAAAAAAACATAAATTTGTGTTTATAATATCCTAATAAACAGCCCGTTTGATCAGATTTTTGACCAATCGACATACAGCAGTAAACTTAAGCCAAATTTGTATGCTTACTATAGAGACCAGTGAGTGTGTTGAACCAACTATGTCACTTCCGGTTTTAATAAAAATTAATTTCTTGCTTACAAAAACATTTTTGCTTGTGCTACAGAGAGGATTATATATGAATATATATTTTAGATTTATGGAAACCTTTTTCAAAATTGTTGTAATTCTTTGCAAAAAACACTTTTTTAGTGTAAGTAAGAAGACATGTCCTTTAAATTTGTCACTTTAGAGTAATGATGCGTCATTTGCATTTTCTGCTAAACTATCAAATTTCTCACAGCTAAATCTACGCCAATATCTACTTGGATTATTTAATATTTAATCAAGAAAAGGAAAACCAAGCCTAGATAACCTCCTGGCTTGGATTCAAACGGATTTAAAATAGGCCTATCATTTCTGTTTGCCCACAACAAAATGGCGACTGGCTTATTACATAGCCAGCAGATTAGCCAGATCGATGCAATTTTGATTTAACATTCTGAACAGAATCAAACCATATTTTGACCAATACTCTTATTACAGATTCATCTTTTACAATACTGTAGTTTACAAGAGATCCATACTGCACTAAAATGACACAATGTGACTTTAATACGATTTACTTACAACAAAAAAGAAAAAAGAACTTGAAAACCAAAAGATCATTCCACCATGTGCAAAAATATCATAATTATCTGTTTCGTTTGCTTGTATTTGAACACGGAACTTTGGGTCTGGATGGATAAACTCTAGTGATCCCTAAAACAAATTAAAACAGAGATCAATAAAACAAAAATATACCACGAATAAAACAAAGCATTATCTGGACTCATAAAGTTTGTCACTAATTTTGAAAAGCATTTCCTCAAAACTTTAAATAGGCAATAATAATAAAATAAATAATCCAACCAAATTAACCAAGCCTGTAGGCATATAAACATGAGAAAATCTTTTTTCAGGTGGACTGATTCTTCAAATCGATTAGAATATCATATATGTCAGTTTTTTAACATCAATCCCATACAGCAATACTAACCTGTGTACAAGAATATGCCAGAGCTATCAATGATGTTACTATTAGAACTCTTCTGATACTCGCATGACTTTCAAGATGGCCTACAATATACAACAATTAAAGATATTTTTAATGTATATTAGAATCAAAACACGATTATAAACACAGTGTATAAACACAAAATCAATCATGTACAGCAACATGACAGTCCTTCGTTTAATCTGGGGTCTTCCCTAAAACTTTGGACAGCGATTTAAGGTATTAAAAACGGCGAAAGTATTGTTCGTCTCCAATCAGTATTGTTTACACTGAGCCATTTTGATAGTCTCGTTTGTCATGCTATTAGTTTTTCTGCAATATTCTGCTATGCACTGGTTAATCGGGCGTAATAAATTTTGTTAGTCATGATGTAACGTTAAGTAAACATATCTGGAGCTCTGTTTAAACTCGAATGATATTGTTACGCAGTTATAGGTATTGGTTGTTAGCAGTTATAGGTATTGTTTGTTAATCGAACTATTGACCAGTTATAATTTGGAACAGAAATTTGCTTTCGTTACAGCAGTGTTTGAGTGGGATTAGGTCTAATCAAACGAAACACAGTGAGGAGTATGGGATTAGCTGTGAATGATCTTTTCTCATCACGACTGCTTGAATCTCGCACACTTTTCTCTAAATTTGTTGATTGTTCACTATTCGTTGGCGAGAATATTAACTGCCAACTGATACCCAAACATTTCAATATGAAGAAAATATTGATTAACAACATATTTTACAATTATTAATACAAATGCACAGAATGAGATATTTCCTCAGAGAAATTTGACTTATTTTTGGTTTTAAATAATTCCTGTGAAAAATAAACGAATCTAATATTATTTCCAGTGAGTCTGTTAAAGTGAGTTAGTGTTAAGTTTATACCAATACTTACCAAACAGAAGTCCAAATGTTACCACTGATAATTCTGTAGCCAGGAGAAAAAATCGTAACACTAACCATATTACCTATAAATAGTAGTATAATGTTATTTAAAAGAAGTTTTATTCCGATTTCAATACACAAATTTAGTAGTATACTTGAGTCCTCCTTTTTCTACCTCATCTACATATTGTTCATTTTTTGAAAACTACAAAACAATAAACATATTTATAAAGCTGAAATTTGTTATGCTGCTCGGTATAAGTGTCAATAATTTGAGTAAAACCGAGGAAAACTTGAGATAGAAGGTACACCATAGTAGTTTGACCCATGAACATGCGAACAGGATTATAATTTGCCACAATAGCACAATGAAATTAAATTCTTACAATAGGTAATCAGATAAGAGAGGTTTGCATAAATGATTGTGAACAGAGTCTGAAATTTGTAACAAACTGGAAGAGGGCTGGGTTTTAATGTCTCTACAATACAGACATGTGAACAATTAAAAGAGGGAGAATTTTGCCTAGACAGAGATGTTTCTATCTATTTATCAATGATTATATTATCAACCATCAAGATATCTTTTACACTAAAGTGTACACGGTTTGACCTCAATTTTGTCCCATCCGAATGATTGACATTCTCCTCCCTTGACACCAGGGACATATCGGTCAAGCGTCTGGCGCCCTTGCTTTATTTCATTTCGTCAGCTGATGACACCGTGTTGTTGACAAGACTTCATTAAGCTTATCATGAATACATGAAAGTCAATGATTATGATTGGAAGAGCTAAGCTTTCATTGGCTGCTTTCATTAACACAACACAATGATAAAACCTGTGACATGTTAAACTGAATCAGCTTAAATATGTAATATGAAACGATAGATAAATTAATAAATATTTGTTTTTAATCAGATTTTCACCTATGTAGATTTGAATAAATTCACTAGTTGTTATCAACTGTCAGACTTTTAATAATTTACTCATGTATATGAAACTGTTTGATTAATTATCTTACTTACCTTATCTGCTACATCCCCTGCTAAAACTGAAGCATTAACTGTCATAGCAACAATACATCTTAATATACTGATTCCAGCAACTACAAAAACCTGCGAAAAAAGAGTGTAAATGTATATTAAAGTAAATTTCAGAATGAGATTCATAAGACCATAAGTGTGATGACAACTCTTTGTATAATTTGAAAATAAAACTTCCTTTAAATATATCAACCTTTATCAGAGAGGTAAATATATCAAATAAAGGCCTAACTTTAATTCAATATCATCTGTTGAATATAACAGATGAACCAGGTATTCCCCCATTACTATTACTGCACTAAAAATTTCAAAAGAATCCAGTTTGTTACTTACCAGTCCATAGAAAGCTTTAAATATAGGACTGTTTGAATTCTGTAGTTTGGTAGCAGCAGACCGTAACCGGTAGAGGAGAAAAATGGCAAAAACTGCATTTGGTACTAGAATAATCAGATCCCACACACGTACTCTGAGGAGAAGAAACAATACTATAAATAGATATTAAAGACACAATATGGGAGATTAGATAAAGAGCTGGCAGGCCTCACTATAATAATAGTTAAAAACTAGATAATGTAAAGGCAATTTGCTGAAAATTTCAGTCAAATTGATCCACTCTGAACCGAGAATTTAGCGACTGAATATGTGGCCTAGCCTCGATCATCATTACTAAAGCCGGTACGATAAAAAACATACTCTTGATTATCCACTTTTTTATTTAATTATCAATGAGCATTGTGCAGCAAATAGGATTCCAATCCAGTTAATGATGTCGAGAGTTGATTATGGTCTAGATAAGTTAATTAATGTCTAATTAATAATTTAGATAACATTTCAGTCCTAAAGAAAGACCTGCAATAGGCAGATTTAGCTCTTGCATGATGTATGTTTAACTGAATTATTGTCTTTAGTTTTTATTTTGGAAGAGAAAGAAAAGCTCTAATCTTTCTTAATACCAGAGTTCTTGAATTGTAAACTTACACTACTCTAGATGTAAATGTATAATAATAGCTCATAATTTATTTTTCTGTAGAATTTTACTCTGCATTGTATTTTCTACACACAAACTTATGCTGTATTTGAAACATGCATGATAATTCATACATATAATGATACCTACCTTGAATCTGCAATATCATCATATAATATCCACTGACATAATGGTTGTTCAACAACAAAGGAAGGAATGGAACTATTAGGACCTACTGTAGGTGTAACAGTTTGAACTATAGGAGTCAGACTACTGGTGTCTCCAGTATTATTTCCTGCTAATCTTAATGTATCAGAACTGATATTACTAGACGTCATATTTTTCTGTTTAAACTGATGAATGGATGCCATGTAAAGATGGAGTTTAACCTCTTGTTACTTGTATTCATCCATTTGGTTTCTTTTGAATCTGTGGAAACAAAAATAGAATTCATTCAATAAATTTAAGCACACAAACTGTTTGAAGAGATTTAAAAATTATATATTTCTAATTTTTATTGTCAAAAATATAGTTTTTATTTCAGCAATGAAATCTATAAAACTCAATACCACAATAATGTGTATGAGCTTTTGAGAAAGTTTGTCAAAATTTGTTGATTGTTTTGAATAATCTGAGCTTTTGAGAAAGTTTGTCACAATTTGTTGACTGTTTTTAATAATAACATTGAGTACAATATTCACAAAGTTCTAACAATCTATTTAGTAAAATTAAATGTTCATTATCTCTCTAAATAAAAGTAAGCAGTTAGGCCTATAGATCAAGATTGTGGAATAATAATAATAATAATAATCCTCTATTTGTATAGCGCGATAATATTAAAACAGAAGTTTCTATTGTGCTTTCCAAGTTTTCTCTGTAAAAACAAATGTCTTTAGCTGAGAATTAGGAGTCAATGGTTCTAAAGTTGTAAGGCAGTGAATTCCATAAAAGTTGAACAGAAAATGAGAAAGATCATTTCAAGATTTCAAGATTTAGTGATGGTTGATGCAGAAATTGTTTATCTGTGGATCTAAGAGTTCTGCACCAATGTTTTTGGCTTCTGGAGATGAAGCAAGACTTTCATGTTGAAATTTAAGAGATGGTACCGTATTGAAAATTTACTAAGTTGTTGTTTTATTCCAATCACCAGATGGCAGATACTAAGTTTTATCAGGATTTAGTTTCAGAAAGTGTGATGTCATCCATAACCTGATTTCTTCCAGTAGGTTTTCAATATTACTTAAAGCTGAATTAATGGATTGTTGATTGAAGGAGCAGCATACAAGTGAATATTAAGACCAAACTTTTCAGTGATTTTTGCTAATGGTCGGGTGAAGACAATGAACAGTTTAGGTCCTAAAACAGATCCTTGGGGCACACGACACATCATAGGGACCTTAACAGATTTGACATCATCAATCTTGACACATTGTTATGCTCGAAACCAGCTTAAATCAGTGTCTCAAACCTTATTTCATCTTGTAGAGCTTGGAGAAGGTCTTCGACATCGAAAGTGTCAAAGGCAGCCGGTAACTCCAAAAGTATCAGCAAAATACATTTTTGATCATTGATAGTTTGGTATGTATCTTTAGTTATTTTGATTAGAGCTGTCTCTGTGCTGTGAAAAAGTTTGTAGGCAGACTGTAAGATGTTTGTTAGGTTGTTTGATTCCATAAAGATTTGTAACTAATAATAGAATGGTGTTGAAACTATACATGTTGATGTAGGTATGGCTATTTATAAATACATGTACATTGTAGATGTATTAACCACAACTTTAAAGCCAATATTAGTAACCTGGTAGCTTGAAAGGGGAGATTATTCTAATGAAACTAAACGATTTGTAAAAATGCATGATTTTCACATTACTGTCTGAGTCTTGGTAAATTTTAAACGGATTTCTTCGATTATGAACAAACTACTTAACTTTGGTTATTATAAACTTACCTGTGTGTTTGTAATGAACTCCCGTTCGATAAAATCCATTGCACAACTAATTATCACAACGATGAAAACAAGTTCTCTCTTGAAAAATTGAAATATCACAAACTTTTCCCAGAGAAAAATACCAATATGGAAGATGGTTACGTCACTCTGCGGAAGATATCATTTCATATTAGGGGTGACAGCATAGGAAATTCAAGTACAATTACGACAAGAATCCATGACCACTCGGACCAAAGAACACTCGGTTCAAGACCAGTCGGACCAACTGATAGACCACTCAGCCCAAACAAATAGACTACCCAGACCATACAAAAAGACTATTCGGACCCAACAGAAAGACGACTAGGACCAATAATAAAGTGTTGTTTTAATAAATTGATAATTGCGTTTGTTTTAAAGGGACAATAACACTCTTGCTGGCTTGAAAGCTCCAGAAAATAAATAATATCTCTATCTAAGTACTAGATGTTTAAGTGTCCTACCTGTTGTGTAAATTATCCATTACATCCTATTTTACTTGTCCAGAGGGTTCGAAAATATTTTTAAATCGAAGTTTCATTTGAAAAGGTTGTGTAAATTATCCATTACATCCTATTTTACTTCTATCTAAGTACTAGATGTTTAAGTGTCCTACCTGTTGTGTAAATTATCCATTACATCCTATTTTACTTGTCCAGAGGGTTCGAAAATATTTTTAAATCGAAGTTTCATTTGAAAAGGTTTATGTTAGACGTTTCAAACCATTATGTTGAATATTTCAAAATTTTTAAATAAGGTGTGTTAAGATGAAATTTGTATCATCAATTAATTGAAATATTCTAAAATAGTACAATTTGTTGACCAGAATAAAGATTGGGACATATTATTCAGTTACAACAAGAGTGGTATTGAGCCTTTAATATGAATACTTGAACCAATAATAAAGTGTTATTTTAATAAATTGATAATTGTGTTTATTTTAATATGACTACTCGAACCAATAATAAAGTGTTATTTGAATAAATTGCTAATTGTGTGTGTTTTAATATGACTACTCGAACTAATAATAACGTGTTGTTTGAATAAATTGATAATTGTATTCCAAATCGCAAAATATCGAGAACCACACTTGTAGTCACGTTTAAAAAGGGACATATAAACGTCCGTTCTTCGTATTATTATGTGCTGTTTATATTAACGCATCAAGGGCGGATAACTTGAAAACGTGTCTCTCCCCCCCCCCCCCCCATATATAGTAACCCAGGGGTTAGTGGGGTAGAACGGAATGAAACCACTGGGGATACCGCGAATGTGGAAAAAGTAAAATTAGGCTATCAGACAAGAACAGTATACCCGTATATGTAGAAACTGTCAAAAGTCTGGACATACCGAGTCTCATTGCAAGAGTAAATAAGAAAAATTAGATTGATATTTTTTTTGGCACCATTATTAATTAATTTTAAAACTAATCGTTGATTTATTTTCCGTACACAAAATTGAACTAAACAACTCTAAATATAAGAATTCCGTATAAGAATTATTTGCTTCTTTGTATTGTGATTTAATAATAAATAAATAGCATATTGTCTAGCCTTATAATATAATTTAATTGGTCCGACAGGTCTTGTTTTGGTCCGACTGGTCTTAGTCCGAGTAGTCTTTAGTCCGAGTAGTCTGGATACCTACGACAATTGGCATTGAGTTTGAGCGTTCGCACACATAACTACCCGCATTCCTGTATTTAGTTACCGTCTTTTACATTCTAGTAAAATCTCTGCAAATTTTATAGCTTTACTTTTTTAAATATTTTGTTCTAATTATTTGATTAGCGACTCGGATGGGATTATTTACTTTTGAAAACGCATGCCGCACAAACACAACTATACATTCGTTTTACGGGCTTTATCACACTTCGGTCAAAACTGTCGAATCGAGAATTAATGTTACGCTTCTTACGGGGTCATACGGGCTTAGTAGCATTATATACCATTATGTTACTGAAGCGGTTATTATTCAATCGAAAGAATGCGTATAAAATTAAAAATACACTCAGAGAATTCGGAGGTAAGCTTCATGATCCTTGTTAAATTATTTATAACATAAAGAAGTATAATAACAGACAGCTTTATGGATGACATTCACTAGGTTTATTAACTGCAACGTTTCAATGAGGTTACTCTCACCGTTATCAAGCAATATGATAACGGTGAGAGTAACCTCATTGAAACGTTGCAGTTAATAAACCTAGTGGTATCATTGCTTGATAACGGTGATATTTTAATTGTGAAGAAAATTTGGTAGACTGGCGATCAATGGTTTCCATATAAATCTCCTATGTAATTGCCTTCAATTGATATTTTTCGTCGCCCAAACCCATATACGATCAAAATGATCGCCCTGTCAAACTATCTTTCAATGTTAACCAACCCCCGCAACAGGTATATTGGAATCGACCAATACGTCACGAAGACATTGTTGACATCGACTCTGTCAAAATTACAAGTAAATTTTCAAATTTTTCAAGAGAGAACTTGTTCTCATCGTTGTGATAATAAGTTGTGCAATGGCTTTTATCGAACGGGAGTTCATTACAAACACACAGGTAAGTTTATAATAACCAAAGTTAAGTAGTTTGTTCATAATCGAAGAAATCCGTTTAAAATTTACGATGGTTCACACAGTAATTACATCTCACTATTAGAGTCTATGCTTTTCACATTAATTGCATCTTACTATCTTCATGACTTTCACATTAATTCACAGTAAATTCACCCTAATCTATCATCATGATTTTCACATTAATTTTAATAATGACTACAATTATGGCATTGACAGTCACAAATACTACAGGCTATAGGTATTCATTTGATTGTTTACACTGGGTCTTTAAATCGGCAGGATACTGCAATATTGCAGTGCATTACGATCGCAATCGTTACTCATTGTCATAACAGTTACACAACTCAGCAGTTGAATGAGTGTAATTTAGTAAACAAACAGAACATCAAGATCATCATCATGTGACGTTAGTCAGAGCAGCGGTTTTAGTGACTGTCATATTCTCAGGTAAAACTATTGGAATCGACCCACCACAGAACAGGGTGATAATCTCGTATAAATTGTAATCCATTACAACTATATATTACCTTTTTACTTTTAATAATAATAATATCTCTCAAAATCTTTATTTTTGTTCAGTCAACTTCCGTGTGACGTCATTTCCGATAAAATCGGGTAATATCGAGCGATTAGCATGTGTCATAGATTTGTATTTAGGCCTAGTTCTAGCGTGGATCGATTGTTTCAGAAATAAAAGATTTCTTGTTCGAAATAGAGAGAGGACGCTGCAAAGGCTGTGCACCCAATGTTCCCTTTCAACTGTAGAAGATTAATCCATTTTCTATTCCTGTGTCCAAGATACGACAATCCACGTTTACAATATATCTACCTTTCTTGAATATTACCATCTTGCCAGTGAACTTCTGAACTTCTTTTGAATCTGCCAGATTTCCTTACTATAGCGTTAGCAATGAATGCAAACCACGATTTTATGGAAAGAGGTGTATCTGTCGGGTGTATACATTCCCCGTCTAGTCTAATTTCCTGCTGCATGTAAGCCTACATGTTCTTACCTCAAATCTGATCACTTTATGTGTAAATCTACCATTTCGTTTCGTCATATGTGGCCGAGTTACGTATGTGCATTAATCTTTTTAGATTTCAAAAGCGTCTGCGGAGCGCCGTTTAGCAGAAGGGGGGCGTATTTTTACGGCATGACGTGTCGCACATACTGACTCTAGCAGGTAAGTATGGTCTTATTTTTACATTGTACATGCGTTCACAGAGACTGACACACTAACGTTTAGTAGTAAAAAGTTGTCCAGTAAAATTGACTGCATGGGGCCGATACTTTTTCGACAAGGAAGGCAGTTCCTGAACGTACAGGGCGAGTGTAATGAGGGCTACGTTCAGAGCTGAACTAAGGCTGTAGTTATTAGCCTTTCCTCAGCAATATCAGACCTTAATGGCCGCAGTTCACACTATAGTAGATACACTGTAAAAAAAAGAAAAAGAAAACGCCCGAATATTACCAAAGGATATTTTAGTTAAGCGATGAAAGGGGGACTACTCCAGTTAAAAATCGACTTTAAATTTGGATGCAGACCACCATTTATTTCCCATACTTTATGTCCGGATCCGACTTTTTCCAATTTGTTTGTTAGGCTGTGAACATATGTGCATCGAGGAATTAAATCTCTTGAATTTAGTAGTTTTATGTGGCCGAAGGCAAGACGGAAGACATTCACAGATGATTAGCCTATAAAAGATTCTGTTTCCAGTACGATATAACTAGGAAAAATATAGTTTCTTCAATAGCCAAATTAAACTACAAGAAATGGTTATACTTATTTTGTTTCATATTATTGTATAAATTATGCGAAGACGTCACCGTTCGTATTCATAATGTTGGTAGAGTTTGCAATAGAAGGGAGACTACTCCATTTAAGCAGTCATAATTAGAATTGGGTTTTTTGTACAAATAGAATCACCGACTTGAATCGGAATATTAAAATATCAATAATAATTGGTTCTGATGCCTTGAATAGGGAGCAGGCTCAGTAATTTATATTGAATGAGCCTAGATTTATTATGCGGAAATATATTTCTATGATATTACTTATTCGAGTTCCCTCCCTTATACCACAATTACACAGAACTGGCAGTCGCGGTCGTCCAGATGCGGTCGTTTGAAGAACTTTGTACTGCCCTGCCACTGGGCATTTCAACTTAAGTTTTGTAATTTTAAGGATATGCCCATTGAACTCATTTGGTTGTTTCCAAACCAAACCAAGGTTCCGCGTTCGTGGAGAATTGGCAGTCAATTAGCGATAGGTGTTGTGGGCATACTAGGGAAATTTTGGATAGGTGAGCTGAGAGTAGTGAGAGAGTGAGGCTAGACGTGTGACGCTATTTATTTAGTTTTAATAACTTTTGGAACTGCCGTTATAATTTAGTCACATCATGTTTACAATTTAAGTGACCTTAGGTCATATTTCATAACTGATTGAAAAGTCCGCCATCGATCGTCTGTGGAAGAGAACGTTAACCCTAAACCACTACTACTACTAGTGCTACTAGTACTACCAACCTGTGTCTCCCATTTTTTCATTATTGCTCAATTTTTCCATAGATTTTTCATTTCTTTCTTTATTTTTTGTGGTCCAGGAGGAATACACCTGAAAATTTTAATAGAGAATTGTCTTATGCTTGCATTAGGGTTATATAAGGATTAGATATATGTGTCTTGTATTTTACATTAAGGGTACCGGTACTCATTATATAAGCTTGGTAAACTGTTTGCTTATATAATATATAGGTCTGAATAGTCTGATTATGGATGTATCTATTGATTGGTAAGATAATGTGAGAAAAAAGATAGTTAAAAACTGGATCGGAAGTTCTTAGCTTTGTATTTAACCAGCCTTAAAAATGCCACAGAATAAAGCATGGCATTATCTTGACAAGAAAAAATTTCCATTATGGTGGAAATTATCCTTTAAAATTGCTGGTTTTGCTGTTGCCATATCTACTAAGTTTTTTTTGGGTATGCCTATTAGTATAATATTTTAGTTTCTTTAATACACTATTATTCACAATTTGATACAATTCTATATTGTGCACAGTAGAAATGAACATAGAATAAAGTTAATTATTAGTGTGGCCATAATAATTTGTTTTGAGAAGAAGGTCAGTTTTTAATTTGAAATTGATACAATTAATAGCTCTATAAGTTTATTATATGTATATATTTAATTTAAAGTTAAATATATTAATAATTTTTATAGATGATTGTATAACTTTTAACTTTCTTTAGCAGTTTATTTTGCATTTAGAACCTATATATTTAAAATGTCTAAACCTCTTTGATTTGGTTAGAAAATTAAATTGTCAGTTTCATTGGATTTTGTTATTAGTTTTGTGGTGGCGATAACAATGTGTCTTTGAAAAAAAAAAATTATGTTTATAAAAAAGTCATTGTAGTTTGTAAGGGATTAACAATTCCTGAAATAATCAGAGATTTTAAACTTTCGCAACAAAATTTGAATCTTGGACCATCAACCTAATTTAATATTATTTTTTTTGTCCAATTCAAAGAGGTTTAATTCCTTAAAGATCAGACATACACACACACAACTAACTTTCTTCAAATTCATATATTATATTTCGTGTTTAATCTTCTGTAGAAAATTTAATTTTAACAATTTATGCACAGTGACAATCACATTACCCAATACAACCCTTATCCCATTCCTCTGAATGTTTTTATTTTTGTCTTAGTTCAATTATTTATATCATTAATAGTATTGTGCTATCTGTGCTGATATGTAGTTTGTTGTATCTATTTTTTGATGTGTAGTTATCCTGCTTAATAGTGAATTATGATTGTTTGTCTGATGTATATATATATATTTTTCATAGACATAAATATAGTGCTAGAAAACTGTTTCAATTCTTCTTAAATTATAACGTATTGAATTCACTTAAGATATATTTTTGAACATGACTGATGCATTCTTGCTAAGGGCATATTCTAATGTTGTAGATATGTCCACAGATTCTGAGGGGATCACGTGGCTAAGTGGGTAAGACACTGGCTCGCTAGCCTGGAGGTCGGGTGTTCGATCCCTGCATTGGCCGAGAAAGTTAATCCAGATTTTCCGGTGTGGTTCCCCCTTGTCAGTGATGCAGGACAGAGGGCCTGACAAGGACAGCTATCTAGTCGTTCGGATGGGGCAAAAACCGAGGTCCCGTGTATAAATTGGAATGCACGTAAATGATCCCCTGGCAGTTGGAATTCGATATAAAGTAATTTCAGAAATTGTGATTATGGCCAGAGTGTGAAATATTGTAGGATTGTATTTTAGGGGGGTATAGTGTTGTCAGTCTACTCTAGTCACTATTTTGTACACCACCATCCCACCACCCTTGTCCCTCTTTCATGTGTAAATACTTGTTGCACATCGACTATTAACATATTATGTAGCACTGGTAATAAAATTGTTCTAGACTTATTGTTTTGGTAAAAATCTCTGTCAACGATTGTGCTTTTCTATTTTCAGAATGGGTAAATAAAGTTACTGTGTATAACCGGGAAGCACTTCATAAGGCAGTTGCAAATAGAGATAAGAATACTGGACTGATTACACTAGCAAATCATTATAGTTGTCTAGATGAACCGTTATTATGGGGTAAGTTAAACAAAAATGTTTTAACCTATTGTTACATTTATCATTTTATTTTGGTAAATTTTTGAGAAAATGTCATTAATATCCTTATTATATATTACAGGTGTTTTACAGCTAAAATATTTAATACATCCAGAGAGGATTCGTTGGTCGTTAGGAAGCCATGATGTTTGTTTTACAAACTATTGGCATGCCTTATTTTTTAGCCTTGGTAAAACAATACCAGTAGTACGTGGAAATGGCGTTTACCAAAAAAGTATGGATTTTGTTATTTCAAAACTGAATAATGGTAATTGGGTGCATCTGTTTCCAGAAGGTAAATTAATTGTCCATATGCTCACAGTTTTATTTTATTAATTATTCTTTAGCATGACCATCATTGGTTTGTGTCTCTTAATTATTTTAACTACCATGTGTATGGATTAGAAAATCAAAATGAAATGAAATGGGGTTTAACGTCCTATTGTCTGCTCCGACTGGGCTAATGAAGACAGGCTCACGCCATACAGTGTGTTATAAGGGAAATTTTGCCCAGACAGCGGCGCTACAGCCTACTCTTATATTGAATTCCAACTGCCAAGAGATCTTTAATGTGCACGCCAGTGTGTATACGGGACCTCGGTTTTTATCCCATCCGAACAACTATACATTGTCCCTTGTCCAGCCCTCAGTCCTACACCACTGACAAGGAGGGACCACACCGGAAAATCTGGATGAACTTTCTCGGCCAACACCGGGATCGAACACGGGACCTCCAGGTTAGCAAGCCAACGTCTATCCACTGAGCAACCGTGGCTCCCAAATATTGCCCATCACATTATTTCTGGTGTATTTTTATATTTTCTTTCTTTTTTTTTAGGGAAAGTGAATTTAGAAAAAGAAAGGCTACGACTGAAATGGGGTAAGATTGATCAGCATTGAGTCTTGACAAAAAACAATCAGTTACCGTACATCTTCCTATTTGCAAGTAAAATAATGGAATTTGATATAAGACTTATTAAGAGTAGCTCATAGCACACTGTATGGCATATGCCCATCTTCATTAGCCTAGTCGGAGTAGAACAGTAGGACATTAAACCCCATTACATTTCATTTTTTCAAAATTGTTTTGCAAAACATTTAGATAAACCACAACTAACCTTAGCTGTTCATACATAACTAATAATGTTAGTTTAGGGTTAGTTTCGATTCAATCTTAACCCATTTCTATGCAAGCTGCATAAAACAAAAACTTGTTTTGCAGAAAATTTAGATAAACCACAACGCTTAGCTGTTCATACATAACTAATAATGTTAGTTTAGGGTTAGTTTCAGTTCATTCTTAACTCAGTTCTATGAAAGCAGTGAGACCTGCATAAAACAAGAACTTGGAAAAAAACCTCAAATTACACTCTTTGTGAATGTCCAAGCTTTAGAGCAAAGGTGTATTTGGATATATAAGATGGAAAAACATGATACCAGGCACTGTATTTATCTGATTTTCTTTCTTTGAAATTTCATTGAAACCGTTGAGATTCTAAAACAACAAAGATAGCTAGTAAACAAATAGTGAAAGAATGTGATTTGAAGCAAAAAATATACATATCTTAAATCCTAAAACAGAAGTGCCCAAATTTACACTTTTTTGAAACAGAAAATTAAAACCTGTGTTTATGCTATGTAAAAGAAGAACTGACTATAAATCTTAAAGAAATGAAGTGAAACAGACCTACAGATGTGACATTTACAAACATTCTTTTACCATTTCTTTGTGTTTATTATTTTAAATGTTTATATTACAGGTATTGGTCGATTAATTAGTGAAAGTTCAGTAACCCCTATTGTCTTACCCATATATCATATAGGTAATTCAATCTTATTATCAAATAAATAAATAAATATATTATGTTAAGGTACTTTCCTTGGTAGTATTTCTCCAAGACTAATAATTAACATACATTATCGTAGTAAAATTATGAAAGGAAATATGAAATAATTCACACAGCTACCTCACCGACTTGTTATACAAACGTAGGTTGCCTAGGAAAGAAATGTACGCCATTAGTTTTGTTTCCCTATTTGTACAAAATTTGTACAAAATTTAATGTGTTCATGAAAAAAATTATGTAATAAACAAAGACAGGTAATAATTCAAGTACAGAATCATAAATGCCTGGTAATTTAATTTTGATAGACTTATTTTTCGCATTAATGTACTAATAGGAATCGTTTTTCAAGGCCATACAAAAAAATATATTCTGGTTCTCAGATACTCCTGCGTCCTGGGGTTTTTTTTCTTCAAAAAATAAAAAATAAAGGCAATCTCATTAATTACCTGATGTAAATATTTACCTCAATTAAGCAAGAATTAAAAGCGTATGCAACCCTGATAAATGTCACTGGACATCATGAAAGACTCTAGATAATCATACATTCTTATACAGGATGAGATAAATGTAGTGCCTTGAAATGTAGTGATCCTTTTAAAAAAAATAAAAGCCTCTCTCCCGTATCAGATTGTTTGGAATAGGATTGTCTGAGAACTAAGGCGTTTTTACGAGAAAACAAATCGGTTTCGATTAACTATCTCGTTTTGTACAATGCCATAGGTCTCGAGTTGGTATTCGAATCGGTTCTCGTAAACGCGATGAGTTGCCTCGCAAGATGGCTGAAGACTGAAGAATTGAGGAAAAATGTTTAAAAAAAACACTTTTCTTTATTATGTTCTTGGCGACACCGCCCAAAAATAAAAACGAAAAGTTGTACAAGTTGACTGTCCCCAAATGCCCCGTAATTTTATTAGGAATGTCCATAATATTCATATTTTAACGTGAAATTCAAAAGAAAATGATCTAACGAACGTCGGGCACGTTGTGTCCCATGTTGGGGATGCCATCTTGGAAATCGAATCGTCAATCCGGCAGGCGAGCAAGTTGGAAGATTTGCATAATCGATTTGGCAAATCGTCATGGTAAATACGACAATTAGGTGAAACCGATTAGGCTAATTTTTGCCGTAAATGTGTTTGGAAAGGAAATGCAAATCAATTAGCCCTAATCGGTTTCTCGTAAAAACGCTTCTAGTATATTTTTTTTGTATGGCCTAATACAAATTATTTTCATTTTGTTATACAGAATATTATTCATGTAAATATCCATATCTAGTTTATTTTCTGTAATATATTTTAATACATGTTTTGCTTTAATAGGTATGGACTCAATTTTACCTAATAAAACCCCATATATACCTCAAATTAGGAAAGTAAGTAACATATGTATTATACTGTCAACCATACCTGAATCGATAACATTGCTATATAATTATTATCCCTGTAAGATTGTCCCTTTAAAAATGAAATATTTGCTCATGGAGAATTCGTTCTCTTTAAGTTCATAGATAAGTTGATAACTATACAATACTAACATATCATTCTTATTCTTGTTTTGTTATTATCAATATCACACCTCATTCCTTCATTGCCAGGATAACATGGGCAAATTTTTAGATGTTGAAACTGCCAATTTTAAAAACTATTCATCCCCTTTATTGATGACCAACAACTTTATTGTTATAGTTCTTTGTATTTTTTTAGCATAAAGTTTCAACCTACTACTCTTAAATGTACTCTCGCTTTCACCAATTAAAACGATATTTATAAGCATGTTGCTTGTTTTCGTATCCTTTAGACTGTACAATTGTATGATTATATGTAATTATATTGAATAAAATATTGTTTAAACAATTCTTATTCTTACAGTCAACCTGTAAAATGCATATTTGTCCAGGCCAAATATTTGTTATCCTAAAAGGGGAGAAAATAGAGGCTGGCATAATCGTGACTACGAAAACATAAACATATTAAAGGAGCTAAATCGCTAATATTTGGGACCTAGAAATTGACCCAAATGGGTTGCAACGCAAATAATAATGTAATCTGATTGTATATGAATTGATTTACATTCAATTGTTTCCGTTTTGACTCTAATTTCAAATCAGTTAGGTCCAGCGAAATACGGCATGAGTCTCAACCGAATAGAAATTTCTAGCATCTGGTTATTCCAGTCTATTATGCATGCTCTCCAGATAAGTTATTTCGTCGCCGTATGACATCAGTTGTGGAATATGTCTAGCCACGCTCTTTCTGGTCACTTGTTACAAATGACGATGAAACACACTATGCTACACGATTCGTGTACCAATGGTAAAATGTTTATTTTGTCTTAAATATTGGATATCAGAAGCCTACCTTTTCCCGGTAAGATAACAACATCAATGTTGATTTGAATTGACAAATAATTCGTGTTTTCAACGTGTAAGACTTTGGATGATATTGAGTTAGAGACTTAGCTACTTTAAAATAATATGTTCAGCCTTACAGGTGTTGGGACTAGTTTGTAAAAAGATGACGATACTTTACCATTACCGTAACCAATTTTTTGTTATTTCAGAAGGTGACCTATCTGGTCGGAAGTCCCATGGACTTTACTTCTGATATTAAAACATTGTCAGATTTAAAAAAATCTCCTGTGAGTAAAACTATAAGATATGTATTTATAACTTGCAGATTTTCATTTGGTTATATTCTTTTTATTGTTTAGAAACATTTAGTAATGCATGTAGAGCATTCACAAGATTACATTATCAAGAAAGGTAACTTTGCTTGTACTTTTTGGACATTTGATTATCCCTAGGAATCCTGGGACTGTATATCTTTTTATTTGTTGGGTTGTTTTTCTTATTTTCAGAAAGAAAAAAGAAAATACATCACAGATAAAATACAAGAGGAATTTTTTAAATTAAGACTTCAAGCCGAAGAATTACATGAAAAGGCAGCATCTTGATAGTGTAAAATGATGACAGGGACCATTGTAATATATTGTTTTAAATGTTTTGTTGTGATATGGTATTACGTTTTAGTGTGTGAGTGTATCTTTAACTATTGTATGTTAATTTACTATGAAATTTTACATTAAACTATCTTTGATACATAGTATTTTTATCAATTAAGATGGCTTCCCGTGTAATTTTGACTAAAAACACATTCAAACTACCGGTAATTAATCTATCCAAATTTTGCTTCAAATCCTTCTTAAAACATTGTATTCGTGAGGAAATACCCAAGCTTTAAAAAAATCTATTAAAAGAAGACATGTTTTTGTCATGTGATTTGGCCGACTAGCTGATGCGGTACCTAGCAGTGGGTGTGAAGCCGGAGGAGAAATTCATTACATATACAAGATCATGTTGTCTTTAATCGCTGTCCATTTATCATAAATATCGAACCCAAATTATGGACTGCCCACGTCTTTTTCTGTGCTTTTTATACGCCTACATTTTCATGTGGACGTATTATGCCATCGCCCCTGTCCGTTTGTGGACAATCTACAGGTCACAATTTTTATACGCGCACATTTTCATGTGGACGTATTATGCCGTCGCCCCTGTCCGTCCGGACGTCAGTCCACAATTTGTTTGTGGACACTCTATAGGTCACAATTCTTATCCGATATTGACGAAACTTGAAATATAGGTTTATCTCCAAAAGATCTCGGCTGCTTTCGATATTGGCATGTATCGGATCGAAACTTCATGGATTATGGCCCCTGTTTGTACGAAAAATCGCGTTTTTAGCTTGTGGACCCTATAGAGGTCATAATTTTTATCCGATTTAAAAAAACATATTATTATATCACCGTTACACCCTAAGGACAGCTGAGTTCGAAGTTCGTGAAAATAGGCTCAAAATTGAAAGACCTCTGATTGTACGAAAAATTGCGTGGACCCTATAGAGGTCATAATTTTTATCCGATTTAAAAAACTGTATTATTATATCACCGTTACACCCTATGTACGGCTGAGTTTGAATTTCGTGAAAATCAGCCCAAAATTGACAGACAAAATGTCCGCCGTACGTTCTCAAATAGCGTAAAAATATGGTATATCAAGGTTGTGGACCCTATAGAGGTCACAATTTTTATCCGATTTTGTTGAAACTTGAAATGTAAGTTTATAACCCAAAGATCTCGGTTCCTTTCGATATTTGCGCATATCGAATTGTAATTTTCTGAATCATGGCCCTTGATTGTAGGAAAAATCACTCCCTTTTTAGCTTGTTCTCTATCCATCTCTCGAAAATGTGGGCGTATCCTGCCTGGCAGCCGCTGGTTATCTGATCTTGGTTCCTTTTCGATATTGGCATGTATCGGATCATAATGTCATGGATTATGCCCCCTGATTGTACGACAAATCACCTTTTTAGCTTATGGACACTCTTGAGGTCACAATTTTCATCCGATTTTGATGAAACTTGACATTTACATTTATAACCCAAAGATCTTGGTTACTTTTGATATTCTCGCATATCGGATCATAACTTCCTGAATTATGGCCCCTGATTGTAACAATTATTATCCGATTTAAAAGAAAGTCCTCAAATATATCACTGTTACACCTTAATGTCGGTTGAGTTAGAACTCGTGAAACTCAGACCAAAACTGCCAGACAAATGGCCGCCCCTAAAATATGTTATATTAATCAAGGTTGTGAACCATATAGAGGTCACTATTTTGATACGATTTTTATGAAACTTGAAATACATGTTTATAACCCAAAGATCTTGGTTCCTTTCGATATTCAAGAGTATCAGATCGTAACTACTTGAATTATGGCCCTTGATTGTACAAAAAATCATTTTTTTTAGCTTGTGGTCCCTCTAGAGATCTCAATTTTTATTTGATTTTAAAAACGTTACACCCTAATGACGGTCGAGTTCTAATTTTGCGAAAGTCAAATTGTGTAAAAGTATGTAATACCAATTTTGTGGACCCTCTAGAGGTCACAATTTTTATCTGATTTTGATGAAACTTAAAATATGTTTATATCCCGAAGATCTTGGTTCCTGTAGATATTCACACATATCGGATGTAACTTCCTGGATTATGTTCCCTGATTGTACGAAAAATCGCTTCTTTTTTCTTTAGCTTGTTCTCTGTCCATACCGATTGTTATCTCAGAAATTGTTGTGCATTGAAGTCTCTCACCTTTTCCAAGCCCGCTCTCCATAAGTGCTCACTAACGCCGAGAGATCAGACAATCTTCTGTGCAATCTTTGACGTCACTCTAGCAGACGTCTAATCATCCGATTGCCGGTTAGGGAAACCCTTACATTTTTGTTCTGTATGTGCTCCATGGGTGTTTTTCAGGGAATCCGGTATTTTTCTAGTAAGATTGGATGTTTCTACTTTCCATATACCAAAATTGCCATACTTTTGAAGCAGGCATTTACTGGTAGTCAAAGGAGAAGCTGGAAAATATGTGCCTTGTCAACTGTCAGGGTTTCTTCTATTTGGATGTCAATGTGTACATGGGTGGACACTGCTTTTAGTACCATCCAAATGGCTAGACACTGTTTTTCAATCCCACCCTGTGAGATGGAGGCTGGGGCTGATGGTTCTAGGACCCCCGCCCCCTTATGCCTGATTTTAGTTGTACTTCCTGGCCACTTTATATTGTTGCCTTTCATCTTCCAAAATTTCAGTCTCTCGGATATCACCTTTCTCCATGTTGTGTACACCCCAAATTTTTGAATGAATAAAAAAATTCCCCAGAAGTATAACAGTGCCTGTAAATATGGTTGGCAAATGCTAAGTAAAGGTTTATAACTTTGAGCATTGAACAGTTTGGTCAACAAGAATTATTCCCCTGGTTTTGAAAACTTGCTGGGATTGCCCCATCTTTGAAACAGTTTAAAGACCAGTTTGAGTAACATCACAATGAACTAATACCTGCTTGTATCTTATAGCAGGAATACAACATAACAAAGGATGAAATATATAGTTTCTAGCAGGGGTACTATTTTATTGCAATACAATCGGCTGTATGTGCACACACAGGAAAGGTCAAGAGAATAGATTACAGCAATAAAGATCAGCCATCAAATTCATTTCAAGCGAAGTAAAATAATTTACAATTCTAAAAAATAAAAACATCTGATCACCAATTAATTACAAATCATTAATATTTATAACACATAAACAATATAGACAAACATTTAACATAAATGGTATTTCTATAGCACAGTGATAGTAAGGATTGGAAAATAGCACATTGTTTAAAAGCTAGGAAAAATATTTTTTTTTTTTTTGGAACAAGCAAAGTTCTAAGAAAACTGTACCAAAAACAAAATTCCCTGAAAACTATAGCGGTCACTTAATATTAAAGTTTCTATCATTAACTAAACTTAAGTTTTGAAGTTTCTATCATTAACTAAACTTAAGTTTTACCAACAAAAAAAAAGCTTCCACTGCAAAAGAATTAAGTTCCTAAAACAAATAAAATAAATAATTCAAAAATATGTAACACTGAGTTCAGTGATCCAATATAAATAGTAACATAATCTTTAAATCATTAATATAACAAAAGTAGAATATGGAAATCGCCTTAGAAGACTAATTTGCCATTTATTATGGAATCATTTACTATCATATATTTTATACAATCTATTAACCTGGACCTCATTGCTTAAAGATAATATGATCCTTTAGGTTAATTAGGTCATCTTGTGCAACCCAACTTATTAGATGATATTTTTTATGAACTAGACAAAATTATAGACTGAAAGTGATAAGTAAGCTCACAATAAATAAAATAGTAAATCCTTACCCATGGTTGAAAGAGGGATATTCATGTCAATGGTGCTCAGTTACCTGAAGACTAGAGTCAAAGACTACAGTACATGCAGTATTGTAGCAGTAAGCCACAACACACACTTTGCCTACTGCTTTGTGACAGCGCAACTTGTAAAAGTGTGATTTGAACTAGTCCTAAATGAGATAATCCCATTCATAACTCATACATTTAAAATATCTTGTTTTCACCATATATCTTGTTTTCACCATATATCTTGTTTTCAACAACAAATATAGTTTTCTTTGTAGTCTCTAATGATGGTTATGAAAGTAGGTTGACCTTCCAAGGAATATATCTTTAAGTCTCATTCAAAATTATCATAATACAAAAAGATTACAAAATCCTACCTCATCTCTGAAGTAAAAAAAACTTACAATATTAAATGATACACTGCATATTTTAATACAAACAGATGGTAAGTAGGTATTTTGAATTTATTAATCGTACAGCATTTTGAACTTTTGCCAATCACAGCTTTGATGCCCTTTAGAATATATTTATTCAGTTTAACCAAATACCTGTTGTAGTTTATGAAATCCCTATACATAGCCATCAAATATACAAATGAAAAATAATCTCAAATTCAAAAAATCCCAATAACCAAAGGGAAACAAACAGCACAAGATGGCATACACTCAAGATAGAAAGCTACCTTTCAACAGTTTATTTCTTTGTAATCTAGAAAACTTTAAAATACTAAACAGTATTATATATCCATTTGATACATTATTTATATAAATATATATAAAATACAATTACTGAATCCTAAAGGTGGGCATATGACAACCTTATAACTCAAATTGATGTTTTTTTTATAACTGGTGGCATGATTTTTTGGCAAAAATCTATTTACCACAGACCGATGGAAAGCAATTGGAGATTTATCCAGTTTCCAAAAATGCCTTTCATTTAAGCTCAACATTTAAATAATAACAAATAACCTTGGATGCTATTACCATTTGCCACCAACCAGTTGATTTTTTTCAACATAATAATATTATGTGCAAGTTGTACGAATAGCATAGAATTTTAATTGAGTAGGGTTTTACATGGGCTAAGCCTGTTCCCCAATCCCATTCAGACACCCTGAATAAAAATATTGTTTAAGTTGACATACCTCCATCTTTAGATTCATCATGCTTGTATAAATTACAATTTATAAAGAGTTATTCAAAAATTTAATTGGATAAATAGTATACAAAATAGTCAATAACACATAAAATAGATGTTTAGGTATAAATAATTATTGGTCTAGTATACCGGGTAATCATGCATTTTAATAATACATATAAATACTTTGTTATTTTTGGTGTTTGCATACATTGATTAACTGAAGCCATATTATACATGAAAGATTAATGGTTCTAATAATACAATTTATTTAATAGCCATCAAACTGAGATTTAATTACTTTATGTATATTAACCAAACTAGTATTTAAACAGCCTGAGTATCCCCATTCGTATCGTTCGGGGCCCTGTTTCTCGAAATCTTAACTAAAGTTAAAATCCAAATTTTAGTAGATACTTCAATTTTGATTGGCTAAGCACTAAAATCAATCTAATATTATCACCCAATAACACATTCTACAGTAGATATCGCTCGTGTGATAAATTTCATAATCTACTGAGATCTCTCCTTAGGAGATAGCGCTTTACATGAATTTGATTGGTCATTTAAAAAGGAACTACTTTTTCTAATTTTCAAAGAACAGTTCATTTTTTTATCAAAAGTAACTTCTTTTTTTTATTATAAATGAACTATTTTTTATTTAATTGACCTTGATGGAAACACTGGGTCAATATAAAGGACTTTGCAATTGCTGTCAAAAAATGATGTATCACTACGCCATAATGTAATTAGGTTCAGTAAAAGTGAAATCTTCATATAGCAAAGAATTATATTTATTTATTCGTGCATGTAAGAAAGGATTGGGTGATAAATAAAATCTCCTACTCTTCTTCATAGGAGATTTTCTATTTATCCAATCAAATTACTACAATTTGGATTTTATCTTAGTTAAAATTTCATGAAACAGGCCCCTGTTCTACTCCCCTAATCCCTGGGTCCATTGGTTTTGTATGCATGTCACTTCTTTGATATTAAATTTCTTGCAAACATTCTCATAATTGAGCGTACAAGCTACTGTATTGTGATAAATGTAAACAACTGGTATGTGAACTGTTTTTTTGATTAGTTCGTAGAATCAACCTAAGAGGCCAATGAAATCATCAAAAGGGCAGATAATTTTAATTTGTGAATGGACCAGGGGTTCGTGGAGTAGAACAAAACGATTCCACTGGGGATACTGAGGAGAGTGTGAAAAGGGACATTTTTTTTTATTTCATATGAATCAGAGAGTTGCAGTAAAATTTAACTAGATAACAGGTATTAAATAAAACAATCACCAAATCAATTTTCAAACATTTTGCATCTAGTCCAAATCTGTTATTTTAATCCTTAGTCTCTAAACATCAGAAACCCTACACTAGCACTATTACACTTTACATAATTATAGTGTAGTCTTTCTAAATCATCCACTTGAAAGTCTTTACTTTAAATTCTACAGAAATTGGAGACAAAAAATTACAAGAAGCACTATATCTATAAATAATAATAAATTATTTTCTTTTTAAAACACAAGAGTTTCATTCCAAAATATGAAAAATTTATAGGGAACCTGATCGAGGTTTGATAACACATGATTTTAAGGAGGATAATTAAACATTTATTTGTTTGAAACTGATAAATTAACAAATCAAATTCACTATACAATAAACCACACCTATCATATTCCATGAAAGTGTATTTTTTGCAGGATAAAAGCCAGATTAATTATGTTATAATTTAGAATCAAACAAATTAACATCTAACTGTTTTATCTCACAAATTCTCTATTCACTAAGCCACACATAACATGTTCCATGAAACTGTATTTTGGATAAGAAGACCAGACATTAATATGGACATATTTTGGAATCAAACTCTTCATCAAATGAATTGACATCTAACATCTTACTGTTTCTTGTAATTTATCTATGAATCGATTTATCACAAACACTAAACAATCTTGTCCAGGAAAGCGAATAATTTCCCTGTTTGTCCTAAAGTAACCTACATGTACACATGTATTATTACATGTAGATCAGGAGGTATGAGTGAAGGGAGGAGGAGCATTTCAAAATCCATCTGATTATCTTGTCATCCTGCAGGGTCTTTACACCCCACTTTCTTGGGCTCTAATTGGTTTAACTTCTATTTTCAGATAATTTTTAACAATGTAAAACATATTTGATACCTTCTTTGATTGGCATTTAGTAATTGAACATATTAACACAAGGTACAATTTTATGGATTATTGAAACGTCGCTTAGTATCAAACTCAGTAATTGTGTGTCCATAAAATTGTACCTTGTGTTCATATTTGATAGTTTTAGAACTTCCATAAAGCATAGATTTCGGTGAAATTATTGAAAAATAAGTTAGCATCAATTTGTGCTTTGGAAATATTCTTTTGGCAGAACTTTTGAAAACCAATTTAATATTCACCAGTTATAAATGTACATGGTAAAGTTCTTGTTTTTGTTTCTATTACATTCCTAACACTGCCAAATTTGTTATTTCTTAAATAAGATTTCCTTCCGGTGGTTCAAATACATTAGAGACCAAAAAGGAATAATAAACATATTAAGAAGAAAAACCGAAATTCAAATGTTAATTCAAGCTTCCACTCCCTTCACATATACCCCCAGTATAGATGTACATTGTTGTATCCACATTTAACCTCTAAATATACAACCCAGTTGTTTGAATCGTATTCAAATCACAGACATTTTAAGATCACATTCATTATACCAGTAATTAAAGCACAACATCAAAATATTGTTTTTTGTCTTCTCTTCTGCTCTCTCATCTCCGTTAACCCTCACCAAGAGATGTCATGTCAGTCTATCATAACCTTATTCACAATACACAAGACACACAAGTTTTTTGTTTGTAACAGACTTCCGTGCATTGACTTAATCCATCACTTTGATATCATTTGAATTATAACAGTTTTATATGCCAGTGGATATTTTTCACTGTCATTAATTTATACAATTTAAGTTTGTAGCATGCATATAACTTTATTCGATGTATGTGATGATGATCGAGATTGTAATTTAAGTAAAAAAAAAAAAAAAGACATGTTTTTCTACACAAATTGCAAATCCAAGAATTTTCAAAGGGAAAGCAAATATAGCAAATTGTTATCTTTAATATGTTCTTCGTTTCTTTATCACAACTCTACAATCTGACTTTTGTTTCACCTCATATTGGTTATTTACTATACAAGCAAAAGTTCTTTTACCAGATGGGGCAGGGGCAAGCTCTCTGAAGCGTTTGGGGGCAGAATTAAACTGGGTCTCAGCAATATCTAAGGCAGATAGACTAGAACTTTTTTCTTCATCAGGTAAACTGTCCATACAACTGGAAACGCTTTCCTTTCTGCTCGACACTTGTCCGGCAGAGGACAATTTGGACAGTCTTTTTGTCAACTGAGGATATTTTTCCTCATTCAAGGCGGCATTGTCAGCATTTTCAACAGCTTTTTGTAGAGTCTGTTTAAATTTAGCACGGACATATTGTAACTTTTGCTTTGGGGGTAAGAGCTCTGGTACCATGTTTCCTGCAATAGTTGGAAGAACCTCTGAGGAATTTGGTGCCATCATTGATTCTGACAAAGGATTCACGGATCGTGTGTAATTAGCATTCTGTTGGATACTTTGACCAGAATAAGATATGGTATGTGGTTTAGCATAATCATGCGTGGATAATCGTTGATCCACAAAACGGTGTTGATCAAGGCCATCATAGACAGCATTATGTGTGATCGTCACTGGCACTGGATCTGCTGGTCTGGAAAATGTCACTGCATCATTATTCGTATTCCAATTTGTGCCTGTAAATAAACTCACTTTAGAATGCAGTGATCTGGGTGGACTGAACAAATTCCTTAAGGGACTCCTCGAGTACTTGGCAGGACTGTGACCATGAAACAAACCTGCTGGGCTCACACCACCCTTTAATGGACTTGATAACAACTCACTAAAAAGATTAATATCTTCACTTGAAAAATCTTCCATTGGATCAATTCCAAATAAATTAGCTTCAAAATTCTCAATGAATTTCTTATCCCATTCATCATCGAATGCCACCTTTTGATTGGGTGGAGTGGGTTGATATGTGAAGGTACCAGTACCATTAAAAACATGATCATTTGTCAGTGGAATAAATCCACCTGGTGCTTTCTGCGAGGTGGCTGGAGATAGGTATCCACTATCAAACGAAGCCTCACTTTCAGCAGTCTGTGAATTAGGCGTAGAATGTATTCCACCATGTGTGATCATACCTGTCGATGTGGTATCATTCTGAACATAGATATATTCAGATGTATCTTGAAACATCTTGTTTGGCCAGGATCATCTACTGCAAAAGATAAATATAGAAATTTATTTCAATTCAAGTTTTACATTAAGAAAAGATAGGTTGCCAGGCAACAAAACATACGCCCACAGCAGCTAAATCGTCCGAGCGGTCGTCAAGGGTTGTCGCATATTTATTCCTTTGTGGTAATTGGGAGCCTTTACAAGACAGTTCCATACAGATCAGATTATAAATTTTGTCGTTTGAGGGTTTACAAGGTCCTCCAAACTGAAACAAGGGTCTCAACTCTGGAAGTAATCTACAGAAATTGTTGAAATTTGACAGGCTTTTTCGTTTTACTAATTTAAATAATGCATACAAATTTCATACAGATCACATTTGTCATTCAAACGTTCACAATCGCCATAACTCTAGAAATTATTGACGGAAATTGCTGAAATTCAATAGACCTGTTTCACAAATTTAAATGATGCATATAAATTTCATACATATCGGATTATCAATCGAGCTTTAACAAGGTTTAACAAAGTGAAATAAGAGCAATAACGCTAGAAGTAATTATTGTAAATTGCTGAAATTCAATAGGCTTTTTCGTTTCACTAATTTAAATCATGCATATAAATTTCACAAAGATCAGGTGATAACTTTTTGCGTTAGAGCGTTCACAAGGATCAATAAAGTGAAACAAGGGCCATAACTCTAGACGTAATAAACGGAAATTGCTGAAATTCAATAGGATTCTCCGTTTCACTAATCTAAATAATGCATATAAATTTCACAAAGATCGAATGATAACTTTTGGCGTTGGAGCGTTCACAAGGATCAATAAAGTGAAACAAGGGCCATAACTCTAGACGTAATAATTGGAAATTGCTGAAATTCAATAGGCTTCTTCGTTTTAGTAACCATAATAATGCGTATAAATTTCAGAAAGATCGGATGATAACTTTTGACGTTAGAGCGTTCACAAGGATCAATAAAGTGAAACAAGGGCCATAACTCTAGACATAATAAACGGGAATTGCTGAAATTCAATAAGCTTCTTTGTTTCAGCAATCTAAATAATGCATATAAATTTCAGAAAGATCGGATGATAACTTTTGACGTGAGAGCGTTCTCAAGGATCAACAAAGTGAAACAAGGGTCATAACTCTAGGCGTAATAAACGGGAATTGCTGAAATTCAATAGGCTTCTTCGTTTCAGCAATCTAAATAATGCATATAAATTTGACGTGAGAGCTTTCCCAAGGATCAATAAAGTGAAACAAGGGCCATAACTCTTAGACGTAATAAACGGAAATTGCCGAAATTCAATAGTCTTCTTCGTTTCAGTAACCTAAGTAATGCAAATAGATTTCAGAAAGATCGGATGATAACTTTTGACGTGAGAGCTTTCACAAGGATCAATAAAGTGAAACAAGGGCCATAACTCTTAGACGTAATAAACAGAAATTGCCGAAATTCATTAGCCTTCTTTGTTTCAGTAACCTAAATAATGCATATAAATTTCAGAAAGATCGGATGATAACTTTTGGTGTTAGAGCGTTCACAAGGATCAATAAAATTAAACAAGGGCCATAACTGTAGACGTAATAAACTGGAATTGCTGAAATTCAATAGGCTTCTTTGTTTCAGCAATCTAAATAATGCATATAATTTTCAGAAAGATCGGATGATAACTTTTGATGTGAGAGCGTTCACAAGAATCAATAAAGTGAAGCAAGGGCCATAACTCTAGACGTAATAAACGGAAATTGTCGAAAATCAATAGGCTTCTTCGTTTCACTAATTTAAATAATGCATGTCAATTTCAGAAAGATCGGATGATAACTTTTGGCATTAGAGCGTTCACAAGAAATTGTGGACGATGGACGGACGGACGGACGGACGGACAGACGGACGGACCGACGGCAATATACGTCCACATTTCAATGTGGGCGTATAAAAAGGTTTCCTATTTGAGAAGAGGGATAGAAGAAACATAACTTGTTACAGGTAGGTTAACATACATCCACCAGCAGCCACGTCATTTACCATTTAACAAGTTCTTTCATTTCATCATCATTAGTTCCCATCGTCAACAGGGCAAATTTTCTTTTAAAAAAATGTTCTTTTCAGTGGAAGAATAGTCTAACATTATTTTTAAAATTAAAAATTGCCAACTTTATACAACCTCCTATGCAAATTGCAATTATTATTGGATATATCTTTCCACAGATAACCATGACATATCATTGTTTTTCCCACTGCAGTGATTGCACATGCCCATCACCCACATGCACCTTGTCATAGTTAAAGTAAAACACGTTGGTGATAGGTTTAGCGATTCTTAAAATAATTCTGTAACTGACAGTTCTCAGAGACAAAGTAACAATATTGTGAGGAATTTATTGGCCGCATGATTTTTCTAAATAAACGATTTACACCGTCGAAAAACGATATTGTTTGTTTACAACGAAACATACCCTCACAGAAGCTGACCGTCCAAGCAGTCAATAAAGACGGTCACTTTCTGATAATTTAGAAGACTGCTTTCCTGTATTATTACTAACTAAAGCTTCCATTAGATTTTTCAGGATGAAAAAGGGCAATAACTCAAGTAATTATCAAACAAATATTGACAATCAAAAGGGCTTTTTTGTCTTGGATAACTTCAGCTGCATGAAGGTACACAAGGGTTTTTCAAATCAAAAGTCCTGAATCTGCATGTAATTACCAGAAATTGTTGAAAAACAATAAACTTCTTCTCATGAACATAGTAAGTCCACATCATATATATTTTATGTCAATCAAATAACAAACATCTACAAGATTTTTCAATGCATTCAAAGTAATCTGAAAGTAATTAAAGCAAATAGTTACAAATAAATAGACTTGTCAACATGAACATTGCATAGCCTATAAGTAAATCGAACAAAAATTTAAGCCGCTAGAGAGTCTACAAGGACTCGGAGACAGCCAGACAGGAAAGTAAAAAATTGTGGCATATCTCCCTAGCACTGTAAGTTTTAAGATATGACATTTTTTGTTATTTGGGGTGATAAACTACGTATTAATCACCAAAAAATACCAATTTTATTTACCATCTATGTTCCAAACTTGGTCAAAAAGCATGATAATAAAGGGTGCTGATGACAACAAAAGTCTAATTTTCTAAGTTATGTATGCATAGATTTCCATCAAATTTGTCATGAACAATGCTAGTATTCATGGAAATGCAAAAAAATGATGAGTTTTCTTGGAAATTCTATTAGTATGTGCTAATATCGATAATTCATCTCTTAGATCGAAAGAAGAGGTTATAAGCAACATTTTGACACCAAAAATGTTATAAAATATCAACTCAAAAGTATTTTAAAATCTTTCTTGATTATTTATCTTCAAATGAGATTTTGAATACATACACAACAAGTTTTAAAATACAACAATTCGGATGTAAAAAGTAAATATTTACTTCAGTGCACTACTCCACCGCTCTCAAAATCATTTTATACATTTGACCATCAAAAAAAAAAAATTCAGCAATGTTCCAGTCGTGATAGATGGTAGACCTGGATAATCGTGTCTTAGGGGGAATTCCTTCTGATGTCATATAGATAGATGTCAAGGTCCAGTGTGAAACTGTTGCTGGAGAAAGTCATAATTGTTTACTTCGGATGACGTTACCCATGTGTACAGCGTCATAATTTATTCAAGAACTGATCTAGGTCGGAGAACCGTCTCGTTCACTATAAATAGTTTTTTCTTTCGGCTTGCATCTCCATTATTACACAATGGTCGAACTGTTATGTGTCCTCTGGGTTATTTTACACATGCAACAAGTATACAAAGTCTTAATAAGATTGGTGCTGAAAAGGTAGTGTTTATTTTAGACTACTCAACGCCCTTAAAGAAACTTTGTTTGTGTGAATATAGCTTTTACTGGATTTTAACATGTTTTAAAGTTTTAGGACATATTTGACTTCAAGAAGGTAACAGTTTTCAATTTTGGGACAGTTTAAAACAAGATAAATAGGTTATTTTGGGATGGTTCAATAATTCACTTGCGCATTGGAGTCTTTAGTAGCGGCAGCGGGAGGAAACTCATGAGGATGGACAGAGGTACCCTACCTGTCACGTATAAAATTTAATGTGGATTTGAAACCGTGTGTTAAACCATTTGCCCCCCCCCCCATGATAAACTATAACCCAGTAGAGTTTCAAAAGCTATTCTGTATGAATATGTGCATTATAGGACAATGTGAAATAAAACTATGCAATATTTTACTTTAGAGAAACTACAATAACTGTATTTTAGTGTATAATTATTTTATTCTTTATCTCCTGTGACATGTTTTCTGCAATATACTGTGAACAGACCCATTATGATATATGCAGTATACTATGGAATATTACTATATGTACATGATGATTACATGACATATGATGACGTGTATTGAACTGAGTATTCAAGTGTGTATTTCATTATCCTATAATGCACTGGTACTGTACAGGACAGTTGTTAATTTTACCTATCACCCAGAGAATTATATCGATTTCAGCTGCACAGAATACCTGATTAAAAGAAAACCTAACCATAATTTTTTTTGACACTACTACATTGTTGTTAGAACAAAATAATCGTCTACACCCTTTCACAATAAGGGTACATACATGGATAGGGTCCTTGTCCTATCTCAAAACGCTTTACTCGGATGTCTTTCAAGAGCATCTAGTGCGTGATATAAGATGTTTTAATTACCCATCTATGTCTTACCCACAGCTTACGACTGCACGCAATATAAGCTTTGTTTGTATTTTTTGTGGTAGCAAAATTCAGGCCATTTATCATCGAGCGGTTTGTCAGCGGAACCATTTACATGTTGGCGCCATAATTATGGCCGGAAGCTCCGTTTTCATTGGTTTGTGGGTGCACATGTTGAACCAATCAAACACAACAAAAACATTCTGCTCCGAATGCTATGTCGTCTATATTTAGATTCAGCAAGAAGGTATGTGTTCTATTTGTGTATTTATTTATTGACAATCACGACTCAATTGTTTTCATTTGGATACAAATGAATCTTGCATACACTTTAGTTACCCTTTAAGTTTCTAATTTGGGTGTTTTTCGCCTCAAATGGCGTTGCAGTGCGATGCATAGGCATCTGCAAATGCCTGAACTATATCCGAGATTGTAAAACCTTCTGTAGCCGTCATGGTCGAAGCCAGGCCTAGCAAATTTGATACCACGCTATGATCATGGCTGTCGAGTGTAATCCGTTTTCTGGCGCTCAATACGCATTTTAGACCCAAAAGAATATCTATGATATTTTTGCTTGTTTCAAGAGTATATCTCGGTCATTAGACAATAACGGTTTGTAATTTTGTATGGACCTGATGTTAGCCTGAGTGGAGTGTATGAAAATCGACATCAGTAATTTCTCTGGCTTTTCAATCGATCGCTAAATAAATAATCAATATATAGCAAAATATAAAATACGGTCCTAAATGAGAGAGTTGTTTGATTTTAACTCGAATAGAAGGATAACTGTATCTTCTGGCCGATTGAATTGGTTTTACTGCTTGAGTGGTTTTGACAGCTACTCGAATGATTGGCAGACAGACAGCACGTGCAGAATGTGAGTCCGACTAATCTGGGTCAGCCGCTTTGTTGATATAACTTCGATACGGTAACTGTCAAGTACCTTGAAATTTAAATTTCAGACATTTGTATGTTCTGTCAATAAATTTTCGTGTTAAAAATATTATAAAATACCACTATAAAGCGACTATATTGGAATCATCCGGTTGAATTGTTCGGCCATTGATAACGGGTTGATTAGTCGGCTGCTCACACTTGCTACATTCTTCTGGGTAAAATAGACCGTTTATTAATGTATACATTGTCTCCAAAAGTGTTTTTAGCTGTGCATTTTAAAACAATAACCACACTAACCTATTGTTTAATTTGCTTATGGCAAGGTATATTAAACATAATACACCCCTTGTATAAATTAGTGTGAATTATAAATCAAATAGTGAAGAAAAGATCATTATCATGTCTTATAAGGATTAAGATCATTACATAATTGAAATCATACATAATATCCCACGGTTAATAAGAATTTTATCATTTGCTTTAAAAGATAATATTCACAAATATTGACTGATGGTATTCTGTTTATTATGGGGAATATTACACACTATGCCAAGTATCATACTATGTTTATTATAGATATTTATGTAAAATTTAAGATAAAGGAATAGAGCTCTTAAGAAACAGACTGTTAATTAATATCTTTGTACCATGATTAGATTATGATTTATTTTTGTTATTTAATAAGTATTATCTACAATTGTTTTTTCAGTATTCCAAAGTATACGTCTTAACGAAAATGTGAAGAATTAAAAACAGAAATCCATTGAAATTATTTAGAGGTGTGTATAGATTTTTCTTTTTTTGTTTATTTTTGTATATTTTTTCATTCCTTTAGTATTGGAGCTAATTAGGATTGTGTTTTTAATGTGATGCATGTTGCATAAAAAATGGTTACAAACATGTACTTTGTACAGCATTGTTTTATGCAAAAATAACTGATGCAAGTGGATATCGAAATGATAATACATGACATGATATGAGTCATTAACTGTTCGATTCATTGTATTGTAAGTTAAAGTCAATAGATTAGAAGGTTAAGTCAGATCAGATTTGATCGTGTATGAGCCTGAGGGAAAATGTTTAATAATTATATACTGTATTGTATGAATATGAATATATTTAGATAATTTTTGTATTAAAGGTCTTAAGCCATGCACAGTATTGCTATGGATTTTTTTTATGGAGCGACATTACATGTGCATGTTTTTGAACACTGGTACTAAAGTCTGTAACAATTCAGCATTTGCTGTCCCTCTTCTTGTATCCAATTTTGATGTCTCTTCACATATATTTCATGTAAATATTGAAATATTAGTTCATGTGCCATTACTGAATATACCGGATATTGGAAATACCACATATGGGTTATGAAATGAAATGGACCATAACATTTTACAGTTTATGGTAAAGATATGTTTCCTAATTGTTTCTGTACATACATGTATAAACATTATACAATTAGGAAATAAATCTGTAAAATATTGTATAGTTATAATATATTAAATTTCTATGTCTATGTTAATGACCTTTAATTTAAACTATAGTGTATTTATGTTAAGCAGTGGACACATTAGCCGAATCGTTCGGCCGAAACAATCGGCGCCAAATTTTATTCGGCCGAATGGGTGGACACACTAGCTGAATGCTTCGCCCGATTCAACCTGTCGATTGCATCTCCTTTCACGTCACATGATTAAACATGGCGGCGTCTATGTCTTCAATCTATCACATGACTTCTCGATATGAGTGGTGATTGGCTAATGAATTCTATATTCGGCCGAATGCTTCGGCGAAGCGGACACACCAGGCGAATATAATTCGGCCGAATATATCAAACCTGTTTGATTCGGGCGAATCATTCGGCCGAATGACAGTGGACACACTAGGCGAATTTCGACGCCGATAGATTCGGCCGAATCGTTCGGCTAGTGTGTCCACCGCTTTAAAATAATAATACCTTGTCTCAGCTGTTACAAGTTTGTCACAAAGTTATATATTGTTTGCATTGATGAATAGAAATCTAGTCCTCTTCAGCTAGGCTTGAAAATCAATAAATATCTCAATGAATAATGAATTTGATATTTTACATAATAGTAGTTTAGTAAGATTCTGTTTGAAACTTAAAATAGAAATGATTTAAGATATAGGCTAAATGTTCCTGAAAAATACAATATCATCTTAAACTTTTTGACACATATGTATTAAGACCCTGGCAAGAGACAATGTACAGTTGGTTGGAATGAAAAACCGAAGTCCCGAGTACACATTTGGGTGCACGTAAAAGATCCCTTGGCAGTGGGAATTCGATGTAAGAGTAAGCCACAGCACCACTGTCTGGGCAAAATTTCCCCTCATAGAGCATTGCATTGTCATATGCCCGTCTTCATTACATTTAACAGAGATTTGATCCCTATTTTAATGATCAAAATGATATTGTTGCATATTATCAAAGAAAACGATACATTGTCTGGTCAGTGTGTGGTGTATTAGGATTGAAATATTCTTTTTGCTATACACATTAGTAGGCTGAACAAACGATTCAGTGTACTGTCTCAAATTTTGCCAGGACAGTTCACACTTTAGAACCTCATATGTATTAACAAATCTGTATGGTCTTTAAAACATGTGTATATGAGAAATCAAGAATTGTGCTTTTAAAACAAATTCTTGCCTCAATCCTTTCAGTTACCGGTATATGAACTAAAGTTTTGCTGAAACCTACATAAACAGCTATCACATTAACAAATATTTCTGAATTTAAATGAATTAAACTTGGTCTAAAATTATGTAGCAATGGTATAAAACATGTTTAATATCTCTGAGCGTGATTTGAGAAATATAGGAATCACTTTCAAACTACAATATTGTAAAAGATGAATCTCTAATAGCGATATCAGTTCAAAACTGCTTCAATTCTGTTCAATATTTACAAAGATATAATGAACTGAAATTTCATCCATTATATATACTGCATGGTATATAAATGTCTTTATGTTTCATGAAATCTAATTAATTGTTTTTAATCCGATTGAATCCAAGCTAGAATATTATCTAGCTTTGATATATTGATTTTGTCTTCTTAATTAAATGCTAAATAATCAATCAGAGTACATAATATTAGCATGGATTAAGCCGTGAGAAATTTGATATTTTCCAAAAAATGCAAATCATGCACAGTGACTTTAAGCATTATGATAAATGATTTAAAAATAATATATCCTCTCTCTGCTTATAGATAGTAACCTTTATAGTAAAACTACGTTGTCAATGGCATTGCATTATGGCATGACAAAAAAAATAGCTCCACCCGGTAACATTGTCTTTTTAAAAATTTTAAAATGGATAATAGCTCCCCCCCCCCCCCCCCCCCGCCTGTCTTACAAAACTTTAATTTTAAAATCGTCAATACAGCCTTATATCCCACTGTTCATCAGGATTTTCCGGTGTGGTTCCAGCACCAGAAAGTCCTGATAAACCCCTTCCAGGATCAATCAAAGGACCTCCAGACTAGTGAACCAACGTCTAACAGTTGGACGCTGCCCTGGCAAAATTTCCCTCATAGAACACTGTATGGCGTATGCCCATCTTCATTAGCCCAGTATAGGAGCAGAACAGTAGGACGTTAAACCCCATTTCATTTCATTTGTAAGGATCTGGGTCCTGTTTCACGAAATTATAACTACGATAAAATCCAAATTTTAGTAATTTGATTGGATAATATTAGATTGATTTTAGTGCTTAGCCAATCAAAATTGAAGTATCTACTAAAATTTGTATTTTATCTTTCGTTAAGATTTCGAGAAACGGGGACCAGGACGAGAACCACAAAGTAAACCAGTAATATTTTTCATATCTATTTATATCTTTAATATGAATAACCTTTTATATCTTGTGTTTTTCAGATGCAAGAAAATGATATTTTTACTACATATCAAACCCAATGGCTGAGGTGATGTTCAGCTTGATACAAATATGAAAACAAAAGAAGTTAAGGTCGAGGATGGAGAGCCGAAAGAAACGGAAGAAACAACAAGTGATGAAAAGTTTTCAAAAACTAAAAAACAAAATAAGAAGTGTAAGAAGATTGTGGATGTACAAGACATAGATGACGTCAATATGAAAACTGATGAAAATTTTGTGATTGAAAGTGAGGTTAAGAATGCAGATGATGCTGTGGATGGTTCAGTCACTAATCATCAAGTTGAAGTTCAGGATGGAGTTTTAGAGGAGAAAGGTAGCTCTGACGCAAAATCTGAAGATGTACATCTTATCCAGAATTCTCCGAAGAAAAGGATAAACGATGATATTAATTCATCAGAGCTTAGAGTCGAAATAGTACCTATTGAAAATTCTGCAGCAGAAACATCTTCAGTGGAAAATGTAGAACCTCCACACCCTACCCCAACAAATTTTCCTGAGTTCATTAAGTCAAAACGTACACCAAAGAAAAGAAAGTTCCATGATGATGATGTCCCATTAAAGCCATTGCCAAAACCAAAACCCCGTAAGAAAACCCCAGGAAGAAAAAGCCTTACAGATGGCATTAACAAATCAGAAATCAAAACTGCTTCGGATCCTGTTCCTACCCCTTTAGAAACTTTAGCCAAGGTTGCAGAGGAAATGGCTGTCTTGGAAGGTATTGTGAATGACAGTATTGAAAATAATAAATTAGAGAATCATGTGGACAATGATAAAAACATGGAAGACAATTCTGAAGTTCCGCCTGGTAGTAAAGTTTCGAGTGGAAAGAAAAAGAAAAGAGTACGAAAGAAGAAAGAACCAATTTCGGAAAACAATGCAAGTCAAGAAAGTGTGAATGCCAATGGTGACATTGGCAAGGAAGAAAGTCCTGAAAAACCTAAGAAGGAAAAGCCAACAAAAGCGAAAAAATCCAAGAAAAAAGTAGAACCGGTAGTTGCTTCTCCTGAAGAAAAGGAACCAATTAATGATGAAGCTCAAGTTGAACCTAAACCTAAACCACCCAAACTACCTAAACCACCAAAAGCCACGAAAACCAAGAAAAGAAAAAGCAATGAACATTTAAATAATGAACTTCCGCTTGAACCTTCCATTCCCACTGAAGAAGCAAGTAGTAGTAAAGAAACAACTGAAACACCAGAACTCAAAGAATCACAAGTTGAGGGGGAACCCAAACCTAAAAAGAAAAAGAAACCTAAGAAGCAAAATGAAGAAAAGTCGCCCGGTAAAGAAAAGTCACCTGGTAAAGAGAAACCACATGGTAAAGAGAAATCTCCAGTTAAAGATAATTCTGAAGAGGGAACTTCACCAAGTAAAGAGCTTGAAGAACATAAAGAAGAGAAAGGTGAAGAAAAGAGGATTAAGCCTAAAAAATGTAAACTAAACATTGTTTCAGGTGATGCACTAGAAAAACAAATGGAAGAGACATTTGACTTTGTTATAAATCACTTAGTGATAGAAAATGGTGTCTCAGACTCTCATAGTGATGAGGATGTGAAAGAGGGGACATCTGGGTCGGCTGCTGAAGTTGACAAAAGTACTGCTGACATGGACACTGCTGCACAAGTTACAAAATCAGCTTCAGATTCACCAAACATAAATGGACCACAGACAGGAATAGCTGTCGAAAATGGTAAAAATAAAAACAGAAAACCACATCCTGTGTTAGCCTGTCCTCGGTGTGAAGTTAAACTAAAAGGAAAGTCATCATTAAGTAGACATTTACGTAACGTTCATCAGGAGACATTGCCAGATAATATTTATAAGTGTGAAAAATGTGACTATGCTACAAGTAAACACGCCCTTTTAGGCAAACACGCGATCACACATGGCATCTATATGTGCATCAAGTGTAATTTTGAGGCAGACAATAAAGAAGTGTTAAATGAACATCTTCGTGAAGTGCACAATCTGAAAGAAAAAAGTGATATGAGGTTGTGTAAGAAGTGCTATAGATATATTAAATGTGAAGACATTTCTATAGAAAAACATTTTGAAGACTGTCAGGGTAAGGTGCCATTTAAATGCCAAGAGTGTGCTAAAGAATTTACGTATGAATCAGCATTAAAAGTGCATTTAACAACTCACTTTCCCGATCAGCCTAAAAGACATGGCTGTGACAAATGTAGTTACACCACAAACTATCGCGCTAATCTTGTTAAACATGAATTCAATAAACATTCAGAAAAAGAGAGAAATAAAAAGTGTACTTTATGTGAAAAAATGTTTTATACTGATGAAAAACTACGAATACACATTAATCGTCACACGGATGAGAGACCTCATAAATGCACTAAATGTGAAAAAGTCTTTAAATCTAAATCAAGTTTACGAGGACATCAAGCCACACACGAAAAACAAAAAGTGCATAAATGTGACATTGAAGATTGCCAAAAAGTATTTAGGGTTGCTCGGTTGTTACGCATTCACAAGAAAGAGGCACATCGCCTCGGTGAGAAGAAATTTCACTGTTCTGTGGAGGGATGCAGTTTCTCATTCTTCAAACTTTGTCATTTTAAGCGTCATTTTATAACTCATACAGGTAAAACATTTGTTCTTCTTCGTATATTTGAAGTGGTAAGCAGCCACAATTCTGTTTATACTTCCACATTCAAATGTAGTTGTATATTGCTGTCCGTTGATCCACAATTTCTTGTGAACACTCCACGTACATGTACATATATCATCAGATCTTTTTAAAATTTATATAAGCCTATTCAATTCAAAGATTTTCTGTTCATTACCACTAGCTCTAGAGTTACATGGTATGGCCCTTGTTCACTCTTTTGAGGATTGTGAATGCGCTAACAATAAATGTTCTCTGATCTGTGAAATATTTAGTGAAACCAAAAAACTATTGAATTTCATATGCAATATTTAAATGAATGTAATAAAGAAGCCTTTTGAATTGTAACAATTTCTGTTAAAGGACAATATTGGTGTGAGCCATTATTACATATGTGACGAACTGGTTAAACACGTTGCTATTGTAAATGTGTAACAAACACTTGAAGAAACGGGAAGTGATGACAGAAATGACAAAACACGAGTTACATGTACCCTTCTATATAACTGACTGAAGTAACAAGCAATAACAGATACACTGTCGAATTTCATTTCACAGATAATTACGTTGACGATGAAAAGTTGTTATACATACATGTATGAGACGGTGAGAGGATATCTAACAATTCAAAAAATATTTGGCTGTCACTAGATAAAACAAAACGAAGAATTAGAAAAGGTCCATGCGTTAGCATGTTTTATTAAGTACAGAATGAATAAAGGCAAGGGAATGCACAGACCTTTTCTATTTTTCTCCTATCTAGTGACAGCCAATTCTATTTTTGAATTGTCAGATGTCCAATCACCTTCTAAATTATCAGTAACATGAAATTCGACTATGTGTCTGTTATCGCTCGTTACTTCAGTCATTTATATAGAAGGGTAACTCGTATCTGTCATTTTTGTTGTCACTTCCCGTTACTTCAAGTGTTTGTCACACATCTACCCTAACAATGATCTCTGTGTTAAAATTGTATTTGGAATGTGTTTAATTACATGTAGTTTTGTAGATGTCACATACATGTAATAATGGCTAATACCAATATTATCATTTATAGTTATGATGGAAATTGTGACTCAAACGTGACTAAAACATTACAGTCTATCACCATCTCTTGTCAACTAAAGAAAAGGGGTAGTAATAGGCCATGTTTTGGACACCACATATGACAAGCAAGTCACGGGAAAGCTTGCACATGAATCTTTGGAAATGTAAATAATTCAGTTCTAAATGGTATTTCAGTTAGATAATCTCTGTGATTTGTTCTTAAAAACAAACAGCTGACTAAATACTGGACCGTATTGTCAGTAACCATCACAATAACGTTCAAAAACACATAATGTCCATCTTATCATTTATTGCCATCTTTGCTATTATTTCTCTATTTATGCTGCAATCAAATACATCATCATGAGTAGGGTAGATTTTAGATTGCAGATTATAAATTCTCCATGTCATGTGATTTCTTCAGTCTGCACCGTACACAATGTGTTCGGCTAGTAGAAACAGTAGAAGCATTTTGGAACTGTCGTGACTTCACAAGTATATGTACACATTTACATGTATTTGAAGGAGTTCACAGTAGCACATCACAAAAGGAAAGTCTCAAATGGATAAGTTGCATAGATTTATTTTTTCTCAGTGGTTTAATAGTGGACAGAAATATTAAAATGTACTAGTTATATAATTATTTTATACATGTACAACGTTAATGATTTTTCAATTTCTGTTTTTTAGGTGAGAGGAACTATCATTGTAAATTTGAAGGCTGTGGAAAATCTTTTCGTCATGCTGACAATCTAAGGGTACATAAAAGGCAGCATACAAATGAAAAACCTGTGCAATGTGATCAGTGTGACTTTGCGTGTCGTCAAAAAAGCTCATTATACTACCATAATAAACGTCATCACAATATAATAGGTAGCGGTACCACTAAAAAATCAATTAAATCCTCAGATTCAGTTACGAAAACTAATGACAATGCTAATCAAAATAAAGAGGAGAATATCGGAAATCATGAATCGGAATGTAAGAAGGAAAAAGATACAAATCTGTTACTGGAATACATAAATAAAAACCCAGTTGAAGATTTATATGAATTCAAATCGGATGGTGAGTCTGCTGATGACAAGCCAGTGGTCTTCAGGAGGGAAAATTTCAAAGATAAAGACTTAATCAGCAGCCTACCTCTTCCAAAGGTTACTCAAGATCTTCCACCTATTATCGAAAAATCAAAAACAAAAAAGTCAACCGTTAAGAAAGAACCTAAAGCACCAAAGAAAGGATCAAAATCACCTAAAAAGAAAAAAGAACCCAAAGTAGAGAAAGAACAAACAGAAGAGGGTGAACCAAAAGTTGAGAAGGTGTTAAAATCAGGTAAAGACTCAGAAAAATCAACACCTGAAAAGAAGAGTAAAAAATCTACCAAGAACAAGAAATCTAAAAAGGTTCTGAAGAAAGCTGCTGTAGTAGATAAGTCTGAAAGTGAAACAGAAACAGAAGTTGCAGAGGCCAAACCAACAACTTCAAAGAAAAGGACAGTGTCTCCAAAAAAGGGTGTTGGTAAGAAACCTTCAACCAAAGCTAAAAAATCACCATCTTCTACCAGAAATCTTCGTAATAGGAAACCTTCTCCCATCGCAAAAACGAAGAAAAAAGCACCTCCAAAACAGAAAGCTCTGAAGAAGAAAACAGCCACCAAGGCCAAAAAAGGCAAAAAGAAACCTGTTCCAAAGTCAGATTCAGAGACAGAACATGAAGACAATACAGAGGAGATAGAAGAAGATGACAGACAACAACATAATGGAGATGTCATCGATACAAATAAAAGTAAGGAAGATGGTTTTTCACCAGAAAGTCCTACAATAAATTACAGTGATGCCAATAGTCAGGCTGAATCTTACGACCAACCAGCAAATTTAAATGATGATAATCCTGCTGAAACATCTAGGACAGACTTTTCTCCCTTCAATTCTGGAAGTATCCCAGCTGAAGCTGAGAATGATAATGCTATGATGGGTATGCCAGAAGATAAAGAAGATCATCATAGTGTAAGGTCACCATCTCCATATGGCGGTATGAGTGATGACTTGTCAGCATCATTGTCTCCTCCCAGAGCACCAGCACCACCACCCCCTCCAGATGAAGATGATGAAGAATTGGGTTCACCACCTGAGATAATGGAACACTTGAACCAAGAAATACAGGATCATGGTTCTGTTGGAGATTCAAATTTAACACACACCCTTCCAAGAACACCACAAATGCCAGATGCAATGGCTAGAGACAGTATTGAAAATCCTCCAGGCAACATTGAAACATCTCCAGCTATGTCAGCACCGGGTTCGGTTCAGGCACCTGGTTCTGTTGCTGGACCGGGTTCAGTTCAAGGCCCAGGATCAGTTCAAGGACCTGGATCAGTTCAACCACCAGGTTCCGTTCAACAACCAGGCTCAGTACAGCCACCAGGATCTGTTCATGGTCCTAACTCTGTTCAAGGATCCATGCTCAGTCCAGAATCTGCACAACCACAGTTTATGCCAGGAGAATCTGAATCAGAGAAAGATCTTATTGGTCAATATTTGCAAGATCTCAATGTCCATAATCCAAATAGTAGATCACCTGTACCAGAGGAAACTAACAGATTACAAAGGTTAGAGGAATTAGCTGAAAAACCACATGATTTTAGTCGCTACCCACCCAAACCACCCTCTGCATCTTTGATATTACCTTCAGGTTTACAACCTGGTGTTGTGGACATGTCTCACAGAAGGATGGAAATATTAGCAACGGATCGTCAACATGAAGGACATTTTGTTAGAGATACTGCTTCTGCTTTGCCTAGATTGCCAGATACATCATTTGATAGTTTCTCTGCTATAAATTCTTTACATAGTGCTTCAAGAGAAAACAATTTATTGCGTCCTACCGAGGCTCCACTATCTTTTGGTACACCTAGTGCAGCGCCTAGTTTTATGAGACTTAGTGAAACTGATGCAATTTTACAGAGACAACGGATGTCTACTCCATTCCTACCGCCCCCAGGAGTTCCCCAGTCTGATAGAACTTTAGGTAGAATCCCAGACCCAACATTAAGACCTCCTAACCCATCCTTATTACGGCAAGCGCCAATGGGAAGAGAAGACATGTTTATGCCTCCCACTGTTCCAGGAACTATGCCAAGGAATTCTCTGTATAATACTTGGTCAAGTCAAGATGTACGACCACCTCATTGGCCACAAACACCATACTTGCAGCGTCCATTAGATAGGCAAAGTAATGCAACTCCTGCTCCTTTTTTCGCGAAAGATAACTACCTCTCAAGCCGTGACTTTATGTTTGATCCTTCTAGGACCATGAGTGAAAGAAATATGTTCGCAAGTTTATCCTCTCCACAACCACAACGTGAAATAACTAGTGAAACTTTCCCAACGTTAGATAGATTTGAATTGAGTAACTATTTCAGCAGCCATCCATACTCAGGAACAACTTCGTTAGACTATAGTCGCACGGCTTGTGGAACTGCTCAGAAAGCATTTGACGAACGCTATAGACAAACAGCAGCAGCTGGGATGGGTGATTTCAGGACCTTGCCTCCCACCTCATCTTCAGATATGTTTAGTGGTATTGGTGTGAACAGTGTCAGTGGGTTCAATTTAGACAAATTTTATCCTAGGGATGCAATGTATCATCCACAACACATGACAGAAAATACAAATAGTGCTTTTCTCTCTCACCCGACCCCTACACAACATTCTGTGTTCGAACGGGACTACACTCATAGACCGTTATATACTCCTCAAAATAGCCCCTACCCTTTTATTGATGAACGTCAGTATCCCTCGGCAGCCAAATTGTCTCATTCTACAGCACCATCTATGTCACAAGATATCATGAGTCGTTCAGCACCAACAGATAATCAAGTTCAAGATCCTTATAGATGTGGAGTTCTGTATAATGTTATGAACCGATATTAAGTTAATTTATGTATATATATATATTATCCGTCTTTTAAGTTTTCAATTAATTCATTACGCAATGTTTTGACTACAAGTACATATTGTTTATATATATATGTCTATGTACATGTAGATAAGATTGTTCATTACGTAATCAGATCATCTTAATCATTTTTTTAGAATGAAATCTTTTTTAAAAAATGGGAAACCGATAAAAAAATTACTTTCTTAAGTAATTGTTTTTTTTAAATATATATAAGTTATCTTTAGCTTTTTGAACAAAATACCTATTTTTTCAATGGCAAGTAGATTAAATCCTCCTTAGTTAAATGTTGTGTAGGAACATAAACAAATCACTAATCATTTCAATATTCAATAGTCATTGTTAATTCAGGTAGTTAATTCATTACAATTTATTTTGTAAAATTTGTTATGTTATTTGTGTGATTTTTGAAAATGGGAATGAATATTAACATATATATTAATTTAATATTGTAAATACTGTTTTAAGTCTTTTCTATGTTTTCATCATTTTCATACATCTTCAGTCATTTTAAGGCACTTAACTGACTGATGCATTTCTTCTTTTTAATCTTTTCTTTCTTTCCTGTACTACCTTTTATTATCTGTTTTGAATCATTGAATGTAAATGTATTCTATGTTTGTTATATTTAAATTAAACTTTTTACATGCCAACATTTAATGTGCAGGCATATTGTCATCATCTTCTTTCGTGGTTCTTGCAGATCCTTCTGTAGGTCTGACCCCAGACAGATTGTTTTCAAAATTTCAGAAATTGTTCATTTGGTAATAAGAAAGAACTGTATGAGAATTCAGTTTTGTCTTCCATTTATGAAAGCTTGAATATGTTTCTTGACTGAATTTTTAAAACCTTAATGTGTTTGTTTATTACATTGTAAGTATTAGGAAGAACCCTATGAAATTTCAAACTTTTCCAATCATAAACTTCAAACATATTTTGCAGACTTATCTCGCTGGCACATTTTAACAAAGTTCTTGATGTTTTGTTTTTTTGAAAAAAAATTGGGGGTATTGTGTAACCTATCAAAATTACAAATAGCAGAGATATCTCCCCTCTTTAGATATGAAATTTACTGAAATAGACATGAAAGAGTTCTAAACAGTATATCTCAAACCATATTGTTCATTGAGGTGTAATGAATAACCCTTTTGAATTTCAAAAGTTTATGTTTCCATTTTAAAAATTGTTCTGTGGGATTTTGGAGTCAGCACATACGACTTTGCTGCTAGTGGTGATATTAGGGGGTTTAAGAAATCTCTGTCTATTTGGAAACAAGATACTAACCTCAACGATACATTTAAAAATGGAAATGTCTTATCTTTGAATTAAAACTGTTGATTTGAATTGCAAGACAGATTCACAAAATAAACCTGTTTATATCTGTATTATAGCAAATTTTACACTAACCATTTTGAAAGGTGGTCATATATTATTGTCATCCCCGTCTCTGTTCAGCCGTCCGGCGTCCACAATGCCTGTGGATGCACTAGAGGCTAAAGTTAATATCCGATTGACGTTAAATTTATACACAGTGTTTAAGGTCATGAGATGAAGAAGCCTATTGATTTTCAGCGATTTCGGATAATTACTGCCAGACTTTAAATTTATACACAGTGTTTGAGGTCATGACATGAAGAATCCTATTGATTTTCAATGATTTCCGATAATTACTGCCAAAGTTATGGCCCTTGATCACTTTGAAAAATCTTGTGACGCTCTAGAGGCTTATGTTATCATCCGATTGACTTCAGATTGATACACAGAGTTTAAGGTCTTGAAACAAACAAGTATATTGATTTTCAATGAATTTTGATAACTTGAACAGCTAAATCCATGATATTAAATATTTCGTATACTAAACGTTAGCATGGGGCAGAAATTTATAAATACCAAACAAATTCTAATGATTTTCTGATAATTACTTAATGAGTTGTTACTCTTAATCAGATTATAGTGTATTTTAAATGTTTCATTACTGAAAAAGTAAAAATATGCGACAACTCTTGTTGACTGCCCAGACAATTTAGCTGCTGTGGGCATATGTTTCGTTGCCTGGCAACCTATCTTTATGAAAAGCAAACAATTACAAAGTCTCAAAGTTCATTATATTGTTTCTATTTTGTATGAATTAATAAATCATAAGCAGTCAAAAAGTTCTTGCACATCTGTTTTGAAACAATATAATGGGAATGCACAACTTTTCATTGAAGTACAGTTAAAATGTTTTGAAAGAAAAAAAGCTTAAAATCCTAGAAGGTTATTTTGTTCATCCACAAGACACATGTCTATAGTTGATCTATGGTGAATCTTGGTGCATAAAAACGGAGATATAATTATCCTGATCATATTATCGGTAATTAGATAAACTGGTTTAAATTTGTGTATGTGTTAGGTCTATAATATATTTGGAAAAATATTGTATTGCTAACAATATTAAATATTTTGGCAGATGTGACAATCTATGCAAATAGTTCTAAAGGATTTTATAGTTTTCATAAAAATACCTGAAATTATCTATTTTACTACCTGTAAACTAAGTTTTCAATATCTGTATTAACTAAATGGATCTTTTGTTACAATAGCTTTTAGTAATGGGACTGGAAATACACAGGTTACAATTCTATGGAATATAATTACAGCTCATTACTGAGCCAGGTTCCAACTAGATTTCTACTTAGTATTTATCAAGCAATGATTACCTGAGCAGCCTTTCAACCAGGCTTCTTTAGTCTTTATCTAGTCGTCACCATTGCTTGATAAAGACTAGTGCTCAATAATAAGCAGTAATTGTTTTCCATAGAATTGTGACCATTTTAAGTGGATCTGATGATAGGAGTTTAACTGTTTCATTTATATCAGATCCTGTCTGGTAAGATCCCAATCAATGTGCATGTTACTAATTTATACATAATGTCAATATAAGAACAGGATGAGTATTAGAATAAAGGTTGTAACTTGTATGAATTAATCAATATCATGAGTAGGACATAAAATTATTGATCAGAGCATTTATTTATATTTATAATGATATTCAAAGTACCAGTGGAAGAACACAGGGTAACATTGTTGTTTTATCAGTTCATCTCATTTTGTTCACCTAACCAGTGATTTTGTTTAACCATCCATCTGATCTGTACAAGTTAATTTGTGTTCAAAAATAGATTCTTTACTAGACCAAAATTTATTTACAATATGACTGCTATCAAGATCCATTGTGAATAAATCATTTCTGTCAACGAATATGGGCTGTAAGGGAGGTAACTATGACATATTTGCTTGCCACATGTAATGCAATACTGTACAAAAGTTGCCCAAATTTTCAACTAAATGTTAGAGCTAACAAATATGACCTCAATAAGAAAAAATCCCAACCACGGTTGGGTTTATTTCACAACTAAGAATCCAGTTTAGTGCCATTGAACTTATTTGGATGCTAAATGCAATGTTGACTCAAATTTCCATTGAATAACAACAAATGTTTGATATACTGATGAGATTCAAAACAAATTTATCACATATTAAAAGATGATTGGTGTTGAATAATCCAGCACTATATAATGTAATAGGCAATGAAGGATCACCTTTAAACAAGATGGAAACAGGACAGACAGTAATGTATTACCTGTGTTAAAATAAATTCTCTGTCATAGTTAATGTTAACTGCTGAATTCCAATATTTCATATTTCCATTCTTTTTAACCTTGTTTCATTTGAAAACCATTCATTCAGTCATGTGTATCAATCAAGCACCAAGTTGTTCAATCTCAAGCATAATATTTTTTTCTTCAGTATTCAGTATATATTTTTCTCTCTTTTTTTGTTATGAAGGAATCCTAGAAGTTTTTATTATTATTTTTTTTTGAGTGCCTCTGTAATAAGTAGTATATGTTATATGTCAATGTGTATGATATGTGTTATGTAAACGTTTTGTCTGAAGTTAATGTTGTTTATTAATTTATTTGATAGAAAATAAATTGTATAAATTAAAGCAATTTTTATATTAGGGATAATATATTATGATGAAAATAAATAATATAGTTTCAGTTATATTACTGTGCAAGTGGTATATAATCTAATTTTATATCTGGTACTCGGAGAGTAATATAGTTCTAATTTTATATCCGGTACTTAGAGAGTAATATGGTACTACAGTTCTAATTTTATATCTGGTACTCAGAGAGTAATATGGTACTACAGTTCTTATTTTATATCTGGTACTCAGAAAGTAATATGGTACTACAGTTCTAATTTTATATCTGATAATCAGAAAGTAATATGGTACTATAGTTCTAATTTTATATCTGGTACTCAGAAAATAATATAGTACTACAGTTCCAGTTTTATATCTGATATTAAGGAAAGTAATATAGTACTATAGTTCTAATTTTATATTTGGTAATCTGAGAATAATATGGTTCTAATTTTATTACTTTGTTGTGCTGAGTCGAGTAAATACGTGTATTATACTGAGAATGATACGGTTGTAATTACATTGTACTGTATTATGATGATAGTTCTAATGTTATTACCCTGGGTGTAATACAGTTTAAATTGTATTGAGTTAAAGGACAATATTGGTGTCAGTCATTATCACATATGTGATAGAACTGGTTAAACACATTCCAAATATAATTTTAACACAGAGATCATTGCTACATAGATGAGTAATACAGGTGTCATGAATTGGAAGTGACGAACGCCAAAGGAAAACACAAGTTATCCCTCTATATTACTGACTGAAGTGACCAGTGATAACAGATACACGGCCAAATTTCTGCTCATTAATAATTCCTTCGAAGACCAAAAGTTGTTGTGCGAGACTGTGAGAGGATATCTGACAATTCATAAAAAAAATTGACTGCCACTAGATAAGAAAACACGAAAGAAAAACAGAAAAAGTCTGTGCATTACCATGTTTTTATAAGGTATAGAATGAACAAATAAAAGGGAATGTACAGATTATTTCTATTTTTTTCGTGTTCTCTTATCTATTGACATTCAATTACTTTATTGAAATGTCAGATATCCTCTTACAGTCCCATATGACAACTTTTGGTCTTCGAAGGAATTATTAGTGAGCAGAAATTCGGCCGTGTATCTGTTATCACTCGTCATATTAGTCAGTTATATAGAGGGATAACTCATGTTTTTCTTTAGTGTTCGTCACTTCCGATTCATGACACCTGTATTACTCATCTATCGTAGCAATGATCTCTGTGTTAAAATTATATTTGGAACGTGTTTAACCAGTTCTATCACATATGTGATAATGACTGACACCAATATTGTCCTTTAATATACTTCCAATTTTAAACTCAGAAAAATATAGTTCTAATCTTAACCATGAGTAATATACACGTAGTTCTAAAAATTTTCAAAGAGTCATATAGTTCAAATTAAAAGCTAAAGCAAAAATGACAACTTATCTTGTTAAAAAGATTTATGAATAATAATTTTTAACAAATAATGTATAGACTCATTTAATGATTACAAAGTATATTGTATTCAAATAGAAGTATAATGCAGTGTGTATCAAATGCCTTTTCTGAACAGTCAGTATTGCTTAGAACCATTAACCACTTGAGAAACATCTCGACTTAACCAAAGTAAATAATGGTCAATATAACTTTAGATAAATTTCTCTTGTTTCAATCAATTCGTTGATTGTTTTTGTACTATAGTCGAACAGCTTCGGTTTTCATAGTTCATGCAATCTACTTACATAAATGACCAAAACAAAAGGTTTAGAAATCGTTATATACTCTGGTTAGACGAATAAGTGTAAATATTTTTAAAATCCTTCTATAATTTTAATGATATTAAATCTTTTTCATGGTCACTGCCAGAGAAGAGCTCACTGTTAAATAAAAGCACATTTGACTTGAAATCGTAGCTAGTTTTACAAAGTTTCTTAATGTCATATTTTATTCTATTTAATTAGTCATGCTAATTATTATTATCATATATACATATATATGTATACTATACTATGTTGTCCTGTGAATGTTATCTCTTTGTTATCCAGTGTTCATAATTGTCATATTTTACCAAAATTATTTTAAGTTTAAAAAATATAAATATATACATACACGTTGTACTTAATATAACATTTACTCTTTTACAGTGCTTTGTTTTAGTGACATCAAGCACTTATATAATATTCTAACAAGTTTTATATAAAATTTATATTTTATCCTTATCCTCCCATCATGTAATATAATTCATAGTTCAATTTCTTTAATCAAGGAACACAATATTTATAAATCAATATGTGTTCAGTTTTTGCATTTGAATTAACTGATGATTTTACTTAGAAAAAAACAGCGTAGGTATTATAACCTTAGAGGTAGTTTTACATGAACAAATTTGTAAGAAACATTCATTTTGAGATGTGTTCATTTTGTGAAGAAAAAATAATATATTCTGTGTAGTGATATGTACATGTGTGTAGTATATTAAAGATAATATATCGTGTACAAAGGTAGTATATATTATATATATATATGAATATATATAAATAAATATATAATTTAGGCTTGTTTTTGTTTCATGTTTATACACATAGAACATGTGAGGCAATAAATATCATATTTGTGAATTAATACTCGTTTAATGATTTTCATTTTTTGAAGTGGTTTGTAATTTTGTCTGAGTATATAATCCTTTAATTCCTCAACAAAGTCATGTAGATAAAATGATTAATGTTGCAGCACACTCTGCATCAATTTGTGTAGACTACACAAATATAAGAGTTCACTACATTGTGGATATTTTTTTCAATGAAACAGAAGACATACAGTATAATATTCATAATAAGGATATTACCAAATAATAGTTTGTTTTCATCACACAAAATATGAAGCAGAGATGGTTGTTATTTGAGACAAGTACCCAAATTGATCAGCAGTAAATATTCCCTTGGCTGCAACAATCATGATATGATATCACATGCAGTCCTATACTGCACATAAACTTAAAGATCAGTTATTTTGCCCAGTGTTAAAAGGCTTTCACATTACTGCTGTGAAACAGACTGAGAAATACCGAGGCTTCCCTTTTAAACAAAGATAGGTTGCAAGGCAATGAAATATGCCCACAACAGCTAATTCGTACATTGTGGGTTTTATGCTAAAAAAACAGCAAAACCTTTACCTATAAAATATCAGAAAGATTAACAAGATTCTACAACACAGACAATAAATCTAGATTTAATAATATATTTTGATGGACTTGTTCATCGCAACAATCAATGAATTTGACTGTTACGTTATTAACAAGATAATAGAGAAGATTTTGGTTCAATAATCTGAACAATCCATATAAATATCTAGCAGATCAAACAACTCTTTTTAATAGATTGTTGTGATAACTGGAGTAATTAATGGGAATCGTTGAAATGGAAATGAAATGGGGTTTAACATCCTACAGTTTGCTGTGAGTGAAATTTTGCTCGGGCAGTGGCACTATGGCCTACTCTTATATTAAATTCCAACTGGCAAGGATTCTTTTATGTGCATGTCAATGTATATACGGGACCTCGTTTGTTTGGTTTTTTTTGTATCATCCAAACAACTAGACAGCTGCACTGGTCAGGCCCTCATCCTGCACCACTGACAAGGAGAAACCATGTTGAAATGGACATCACTAATTTGAACATATAAATTCAAGCAAATCTAGGGGATGATTTTCATTTATTCACTGATATTCTATATGAAGTGGACTAAAGAAGAGCATCTTTGCTGTCCCCTAATACAACTCACACTAAACACAATTTCCAATAACGTTAATTGCTACCTAACAAGTTTTAACATAGATAAATGCACTTTCGCACCTCTACAAGTTTCCGTGGTCATAGAGACTTGAAATTTGCATCCATGATCTCAAACCAAATTTCAGCCGAATCGATCAATAACTTTTTATTTTACCGACTTTTTATCTTCAGACGAGATACGAGCTTATCCGTTCGACGCCATTTTCTTTGTTGACTATTTAGACTCGAATAACAAGACACTAAGACGAATTCCGAAACACTGCGCTTCCTGCCTAACACTGCAATTCATAATAATAATAATAATTTTTGTATATTTTAACTTTTGCGCTAAGCCAACATTTTTTATAAACAACTATTTGGCGATGACTAGATGAACTGGCCTTTACATGTGAATATCGCTGTGACCTTGACGTCAAATTTCCCACCAAGATCGAGACCTTTGCTCTTATATGTGCTACGTCCCTATTTCTTGCTGTTTTATCAAGGTCAATGTTCGCCGTGAAAGCAGAGACAACACCCTTCAGAAAAGATAACTGGGTCAAAGTCATGGGCCAAGGTCATGTTACAGAAAACTGAACTCAAAGGCAGTTTTGGGACATTTGACCTTCACCCCATATCCATTTTAAAAGGCCATTATCTTGGCTTGGACCATCGACGTTTACAAATGAAATGAAATGGGGTTTAACGTCCTACTCTTTTACTCTGAACTGGGCTAATGAAGACGGGCATACACCATACAGTGTGCTATGAGGGAAATTTTGCCCGGACAGCGGCACTACGGCCTACTCTTATATCGAATTCCAACTGTCAAGGGATCTTTTACGTGCACGCCAATGTGTACATGGGACCTCGGTTTTTCGTCTCATCCGAATGACTAGACAGCTGTCCTTGTCAGGCCCTCCGTCCTGCATCACTGACAAGGGGGAATCACGCCGGAAAATCTGGATGAACTTTCTCGGCCAATGCAGGGATCGAACACCCGACCTCCAGGCTAGAGAGCCAGCGCCTTACCCACTTAGCCACCGTGATCCCATCATCGACGTTTACCTTTGTCCTGTCACACATTGCTTGGTCAGAAAATGGTCAAACACAGAGGGCCCGTGTTCAAAAGGAAGACAATGGGCATGGTCAATATGAAATTCGTGGTGACATCCGGTCATCAACGCTAATCAACCGTGACCAGGACTTTGACCTGACTCTAAACTTCCCATCGATATCGGTGCCTTTGCGTTTATGTGCGCCATGGCCATATTTCTTGCTCTATTATCAGGGATAGTCCCCCTGAACATCCCTTGCTAATTTCAAGGCTCTACGACCACAGGAACTGGTAGAGGTGCGAAAGTGCAATAGTCCCGATAATTTCCTGTAAACATTTAAGCTGTAAAATACACTAGCTGGTGACGTGAGACTATAGTACCGGTACTTTATATTATAATTAAATTAGATTAAACAAGACAGCTAAATTCTATAAATGATTACAAACACCCAAATGATAAAGTTTCATGACAAACTTTCCTGGAATTGAGAAGATTGGGTATTCTCCATTTAACATGACTTTGAACTCCAAAGAAATCTTCATCTTTTCACACATTTTGCTTCTAAAAGTAAAATCTATTCAGTATACTGATTTTCATTTTTTCTTTTTATCTTGGGTTTTGTCTATAGGTAGAAATGTTCCTTTCCTCTGCATATGGGAGGGTTCACTTACAGATTCATGATCTGTATCCTCAGCTATCCGGTGTCCTTCACTGTCTCTATCATATAAATATAATTTGTCAAGTTCATCTTTCACTTCATTAAAGAAAAAAGGGTCTTCTCCTTTATCATATTTTGGAGGTAAAAGAGCTGCTGCAACATATCGTCTTTCCGAGTTGATAAAATTAAACGTTGCACAAGCTTGTTCCTGAAATACACAAAATCATACACAGACAATTAGAAACAATCTTAAAAAGCATTGGCGAATTTGGTTATCATGGGATACCTCACTATTGATTTCAGTCTCTACAGCACAATAAAACTGATGATATATGTACCTTCTTACCTTGTAAATTTGGTTTTGAGATTTTACCTTTTACAAGCTATCGACAAAAGAATAAATTAAATTAAACTTTACGCTAATTATGCCAACTGTGTATGAAAGTAAATATTGCTAGGATAATGAGGACTGTACCATCAAGACTAAGCTTAAATATAACCCATTAAGAGTTGATAAAGTCCTTAATTATCCAGACACAGGACCTTAGATTGACAAATCACTCAGTAGAAAGAACTTTGATAGGGATAAGGATGAAAAAAATATAAATTACTATTATTGAGACACTGAAAGCTCACCATGTCTCCATGGCAATTTGAATCATTAAATAAAGAAGAATATCTGGCAATATCCCTTTAATATCACATTAGGGCTTAACTATAAAGTGGATGCTGAGATCCACATTAGTGTCATTAGGCAAGACATTTAATTTACACAACTCTATGCAGCTATTTTCGATATAAATTTTTACAAATCGTTTTATATTGCAGCAGCCTTATTTGATAAAGTCATTTGCAATGCATTGTGCATAACATAATATATTCATAACCACAAAGTAAAAACAACTAAAAACTTTTGTTTTAAGATATATCCAGCCTGAGTCACTTTAGTACCCAGGCTGAATCACCTACTCTGTTGTTTCAATAATAAATATACAACAATAACTGTTAGTCATTTCAATCATGCCGAATATTCTCAAAATATTGAAATCTATGTGCATAAATGGTAAACTTACCGTTGGTAAGATTTCTACATTAAGTTTTTTACTTCTTAAAAATCGTATTATATCTGGGTCATATTGTTCTCCACGATCTCCAATACCTATCAGTAATATATCTGTTAAAAAACAAAATGTGAATCAAATCAAATTCAATGTGAATGAAGATATGAGATCACTGGCACTGGTCACTCCTGACATAATGAGCATGGAAATTTGAAATGTGTAACTGCCAATCATGTGAACTTATCTCAAAGATAAACTAAAAAAAAAGAGACTTCTTAAGTTTAACTTAGAACCTCCTACTATAAGGTACGGTAACAGAATTTTGCATGCCTGCTGCTTTTTAATTATCTTTTGGCATAGTTTACTAATGGTATCAAATAGTCCAGTTTATCAGGTCCCTCAATGCCTAACCCCTATAAAATTTTTGGTGTTACATTACAGAAAAGATAAATATTCCATTTCTTTACATTTTGGCATCTGATTTGTACATTCAAACAAACTTTCTTTTTGGAGATTTAGTGAATACTATTGGAGATGAACTTTAAGATGATTGAAGTGAAAAACCCAAGATAAAAAAAGTACATTCATAGAAGTATTGGAAGTGAAATGAAATGAAATGAAATGGGGTTAAACGTCTTACTGTTCTGCTCCGAACTAGACTTGGCTAATGAAGACGGGCATACGCCATACAATGTGCTATGAGGGAAATTTTGCTCGGACAGCAGCACTACGGCCTATTCTTATATCGAATTCCAACTGTCAAAAGATCTTTTACATGCACGCCAATGTGTACACAGGACCTAGGTTTTTCATTCCATCCGAACAACTAGACAGCTGTCATTGTCAGGCAGAAGTATTGGTATTTGCACTTACCTAATTTGGGTTCTAAAAGTGGAAATAGAGATAAAGAGTTTTCGTTTATTTCCTGAGCAGTGTTGATCTGGAAAAATAAAAAAATATATATATATATATATATATATATATATATATATATATATATATATATATATATATATATACACACAGATCATTCATACTTCAATGGACGTATGTAAAATAAACTTTTAAGTCTATGCCATAAGAAGGAAAAATAACTCTTATTACATCTTTTTCTTTTTAAACATGCATTATGCAAGAGCAAAATCTGCTTATTACAAGTCTTTCTTTAGGCCTGAAATGTTATCTAAATTATCAATTAGACATTAATTAACTTATCCAGACCATAATAAACTCTTGATGTCAAGGCTAGCCTTCGATGTTGGCTGGATTAGATTCCTATATGCCGCTAACGGCTATTGATAACTAAATCAATAAAAGCGGATAATCGAGACTATGCTGTTTATATTAATGATTTTAGTAATGATGACCGAGACTATGCAAAAATTTCACACGCTTCTTTCTCGGCTCATAGTGGATCAATTTGACTGAAATTTTCAGCAAATTACCTTTACACTATCTAGTTTTTAACTATTATAGCGAGAACTGTCATCTCTTTATCTTATCTCCCATATTAATGTATCTTTAATTGATTCAAACTTTGAATATAATAAACTGTTGGGAGGGGGGTCTGGCCAACTGGTTTACTAATTCATCTTCACAACAGTAACAATGCCTGATGCTGTTATTTTTTCAACTTTTGGGACAATCAATCAATAAACTGATACGTCTTTATTTTTGTGTTTCATTTTTTCATATGGTATTCATTTTGAACATCTTGATAAAATAAATATCTTACATTCCAGTGTAAAACAGTTCGGGGAAATATGATGCAAGGACCAATAATTCTAAAGCCACTATTAAGTTTGAAGCCACGAGAACTGATTGTCTCTATGTATATAACATCAGAATCTTCTTTACTTAACATATTTACTTCCGAACGCTGAAAGACATCTCCATCAAAATTATGATTACGAACACTAACTCTGGAATAATAAAAAGATACACAATACATGTCAGCTGTGAACCTAACACTGCTATTGTCCTTCACATGTGAGACTCAGGTCTGGCTAATGTCTTAATAATATCCTTTTATTCTGCCAACATGGGTTAAAAATAAGAGGAAAGTACCACCAGTACCTGTTGTGAGACGATGGGGTAAGCTTTTTACTTTAGATATTATTCAATATTATAATATACAACAATGTGATTGTGAATGACAAATTTTCATGGCATCATAATCATGTCATGGAGTGTGGAGTCCACATCGGTATGACTGAGTATCTTGGTTCCTAGAACTAAGAGCACTGCCACAGCAAAAATGATAAACTAATTTCGTGGACTGACTACCGGTATGCATGGACTCAGTAACATCACTTCGATTCTTTACATGTAAATTGTAAGATAAAAACTGCAAGGTCCGAGATATATATAATAATGGTCCCATTTAATAACTATTGCATTATATAACATTTGTCAGCTTTATTTTCTCCCATTGTAAAACTATACACACCGTATTTGAGGCCGAACATTCTTCAGCAATGTTTGGGATATATTTCTTAAAATATTCATGCTTAAAACAGATTTTTTTCGAATGTCCTTCAAGAGAAAATCATTTTGAAAACATTTTGTGACTCTCGAAAAATAATAAATCGTGAATTACCCCCCTTACATTTTCTACAGTAGTCTTGACCATCACATATATCATTGCCACATGAATATTTCCGCCTTAGACACAGCTAAAGGGAGGTAACTACTTTTAAACGGAAATGTTTTGGATTGAGAGCACTACATTTTACTTAACCTGAATTCCCAAAAAGGGATGTTGACGATCTTACTCTTTGTCACGCACAAACTCGGGATCGAACTCATTAATTGCATGGATGTATCAGACCATAGTATGATTTACAAACGCCATCAGCGAAAACAGGTAGATTTTAAACAATAGACTGACTTAGACTATGATTTTGCATGAGCTTAAGATGCATTCAGTGAACTTTAATTGTGTTTTATATACTAGCTTTCTGGTCGACACAAGTAATATGTAATTTTCGTACTGAGTTGTCAATATTATAAAACATCTGAAGGTACAGTCAGCATATCCTTATTATATAAAAATCGTATAAATTATATAAAGCACTAAAATAAATTTATTTGGCTCAGTTCTCTGTATCGGAAATATAAGCTGTTTCCACTCATCAATGGACCTCCGGATTAGTGAGCCATGGCCTCTCAATGGGCAACCGTGGCCCCAAAGATGAAGTGGGGATTAGAAAATTGGATTATGCGAGAGGTGGTCGCTCTTTAATCGATGAGGCCTATAACATTATTGTGAACGCCTGCAGGTGATGGAGACAGAAACTATCTACATAAATTACCCTGGTTCCAGATGCCCGTAAATAGATAGTCAAATACCGTAGTTTCTTCCATCATTAGAAGACAAATAGAACCGTCATTACGATACAGATCTATATCAAATCGATATCAAAGTGTCCCCCTATTGGTTACGAATATTTTGTTATGAAGTATTAATTTATATTGTCGGGATTTCGGCCACAGGGCTTAATATCCGTTATTACAACCATCCTTCAAATATAGCACAAACGACTATGTAGTCAGAAATGACCACTTTCCAGGCTTTTATTTGAAAATATTTTGATATATCAGCCAATTTGTCTTTTCGTGCAGTTTTGTGTGAATTGGGGAATTCTGGTTCTGGAACAACTCGTCTGCATTATGATCAAAAGAGCAATAACACACGTTCCCAAAAATGATCCCCGACCTTTACGTCGAAATCTGTGTCACCTATCCAAATGTTACAAAGATCGAGAAGGCCCACCATTACAACTGTCAATAAATATGTCATTGCAAAAGATAGCTTTATTTGAATTGTTAAAATTTCATTCCAATAATGTATGGTATCTTTTCTTCATAAAACATAAAATCAATACAGACCGAAAATGGGACAATTCCTAATGTGCTTTAATCAATCGTTATGAGTATTATCGATAGTTTCGGCGGATATCTTTAATCGTTAAGATTAACACAGTTAATTTAGTTCATGAAACAGATGGGGGCTCAGTCGAGACTATAAAATTATGGCATCTGATAATAGCGTGTTTACAACCCATGGCTTCACACTATAAAACTATTTATGGAATAACCATTACTGGTTTATTAACATGCAACGTTTCGACGATGATACCCTCGTCTTTATCAAGCAAATGATTAATCCATGGCTTATTGTAAAATGTATTTTCATCAAACCACCGTTTACATTATTTTCAATAAACTTGGACACTGACCGTCAATGTCTGTATTTCTTTGAAAAATTACCAGAACTTCAGACATTTGTAAAAGTAAAAGTGTTCACCACGCAGAAGAAAACACTCTAAATTGACTGAAATCATGAGAGTAAAATTTTTATTATCCATTCTTCGAGCGCAATTAAGGTTATAGATAATAAAATGGAAACACATTTAGATCTCTCTAAAAGACGTCCATTTAATTTCTTAAAACTCAGGTGTTAAGTTCGTATTTCGCTACAGAAAATGCAATGTGTTTCAGTAAGACGTGGTGGACAACATGGTCAAACTATTATTTACTATTAATTACAGTCACAAGTAGTAAAATTTCAGTAAATGTGAAACTTTTACAAAAAAGTGACAAAAAAGAACTGTACTATTACACTGAATAACAAGAAAATCTCTTCATGTTCGAACATTCTACAAAGTGTTTCAGCATGACGGAACAAATAAACCTTCCAACTTTTTGTGTGGTATATTTTTTGACTGACGCGTTAGTCATTCATATTCTTCGTGCTTCTGTAATATACTGAGAGGCAATGAAAGTGTAATATCTTGCAACTCTAAATGAAACATGAGATCGCTATCACGATCACGTAAACACATAACAGATCAATTCTAGCAGTACCCCAGAATAAGGTTCTGTGGAAGATACAACTATTCTGTCAATTTTTACATCTGAACACCGACAGCGCTCCATTGCGTTAATTAAGGAGTACGAGTTCCGCTGAAAGCAGCATTGCAACAAAAGTGGGAAAGCCGTTCAAAGGATTATAGAATATTAATGTTGAGAAGCCATGACAAGACCGGCGCATTACTCGGCAAACCACCGGCCTCCCGTACTGCTGCTACTGCGAGGGATCCACACTGTTCATCGTCGATGAAGACTGTTAGACTGTCAAGTGGCTTTCCGTTAGACCAATTCTGACTCGATGCCGTTACTGACTTTTACGCCTTATGAATACGTTTGATTGTAAAACAAGCTTGCTATGGTAAATGTCCAGTACACCCATTAATCATGTTACAAATCACATTCCAGTTGCATTATGTCACGCCAGCTCTTCCAGTCAAACCAGTGGTGTGTTTTCATTGCCTCTCAATTTTCTAGTGTAGAAATGGTTAAAAGCTATCTGGAACAATGCAGAAATCTTAATTGCTTTGATTACATCAGTATTGTCTTAACATACAACACATAAGCTTGAGGGTGGTGGGGTGGGGAGCTAACCTCCATGGGTTAGAAGCACAATGGTTGCCCTCGCAGGGCACTGGCAATACACAATACCCCACTGATCGTAAGTACACGTAAGTGGTTTATGTATGACGATATAGCCTGTTCAACGTGTCTCAAATTTACAAAAGGCAAATCGTTCGAGAATGATTACTAGATTTGCTTAACGATACGACCAGGGCCGAATTAAGACCGACAGAGGCCCTAAGTACCTAAACGATTTTGGTTCTCCCAATACATAATTCAAAATATAAACAATAATAAACCATAAAAGTGATGTTTATTTTTCAAAGGAAGGTTCGATACACGTCATTAATAATTGAGACAAAGCAGATGTATTAACAGTAAGAAAAGACAAAACAGTAAAAACGAATCAAAACTTCTTAATTTTGTTATCTAACATAGCAGAAGTTATGTGGCGCCCCTTTCTCCTGATGCCCTATAAGCACGTGCTTATTTTGCTTAAAGGGTAATCCAGTCCTGGGCGACGTTGCTCATTTAAGGAATTTCATTGTTGTACGCTACGATCCGGCTAGCCTGTAGACAGTAGTCAATGTTATCAAGATACTTATATCTCGGAATATGGAGAATCACTAGAGCTTCAGATATTTATACAGGACGGAGTTAAGGGGTTCTTTCACTTAGATTTGAGCAGTCTTGTACTCTAAAATATGTCTGGAATTTCTGTTAAGTTATGTCAGTACAATTACCTCGAAACTGCTTTTGGTGAGATTGTTCAAAATTTAAAGTAGCTAAGTCTCTAACCCAATATCATCCAAAGTCTTCGACATGGAAAACACAAATTATTTGTCAATTTAAATCAACATTGAATTTTTTGATCTTACAGGGAAAAGATGGGCTTCTGATATCCAATATTTATGACAAAATAAACATTTTACCATTGGTACACGAATCGTGTACCATAATGCGTTTCAGCGCCATTTGTAACAAAGGACACGAAGAACGAGGTTAGACATATTCCACAAGTCATGCCAACGGTGACGTCGTATTCTTCTCTGGAGAGCATGCGCCATAAATACTTTCTGTGTAGACTGGAATAACCAGACGCTATAGATTGCCATTCGATTTAGACTTCTGGTGTATTTCGCCGAACATAACTGATTAGAAATTACAGTAAAACCAGTAACCACTGAATGTAAATCAGTTTAGATACATTCATATTACATTATTATTTGCGTTGTAACCCATTTGTGTCAATTTCTAGGTCCCAAATATTAGCGATTTAGCTCCTTTAATGAAAATTTATCAGCAATTGTGTCAATCAGACATTAACATGTTGGCATATATCCGTTTAGATGTTCTTAGCATCACGTTTATAAACATAAATCAGTATAGGATAACATGTCAGACCCTTTTCATGATTTCACATTCTAAACATCATGACATACAAAAATCACGCCATACTTCAAAGCACTGGTTACAGCCACCACTATTGAATACAGAAACCTTACAAAATGGTCTTGATTGTTGACAAAAAAAAAACACATAGTAGCCTACATTTATATCTTAGTTTAATGACGGTAAATGGACAGAGCACATGTCTTTGATTTTGTAAATCTTAAAAGAGTATTTGGGGGTCATCGCCGGTTATTACAAACATAATCTTCGATTTGACCCGATTTGATTATTTAGTTACATTGACCAGGCATGTTCAGATTAGATTGCAAGCAGACAGAATCTGATGTAAATATGCAAAGTCATCACTAATGTTTGCACACGAGTCTTATATAAGTTTTTCAAAGTGAACTTCCTGTCAAGTCATCGTCTTATATAAGTTTTTAAAAGCGAATTTAGAGTACAACCGCCAACAGCCCCGACCCCGAACTTTGCCCTCAACTAAGCAGGTACAATTTGCTAACTTGAACACATATTCTTTCAAGCATAATTGGGTCATCTGTTTGACCCTCGAAAATTATTTTCAATGATCAGGAAACATCATACACACCGCCCCCCACTCCCGGCCCCGAACTTTGCCCTACACTAAGCAGACCTCCGTAAAGGAAATTCTCATTAGGCTAAGTGATTTAACTGGATAGTTAAGAAACTCTTATATTTATATTAAATGTCTACTCAAGAATTGTAAAGTGCCTCTTTATTATTATCCCTTAAGACAAGATAGTCAGAGAAAAAAGGGATATGTTCTTGAAAGTTATTCTTACCATGGACATAGTCAATAAAATTGAGAAAAATGAAATCAGACGTCTTCCTCGAACCTTGACCTATCTCTTTGAAACAAATTTTAGTTCACTTTAATTTGTCATGTAATTTGAATTTTATATTGACATGGGTCCAAATTGCACTGCGATAAAACTGAAGGGAATGCCGGAAAACAATGGTAACACTATATGCCCCGGCCATTAAGTGGCTGGGCATAAAAATACACCGGTTTTTAATTTTCGTGTTTTTATAAAAGTATTAACAGATGGACTTTACGCTAGATTAAATCCGGATAACCCAGCGTCCGAAGCGTGACATTGGCATTTTTTCAAAGAATTCCTCGCTTCGATTGGTGTCCGCGACTGTTTCAAGGGAGGTTATAAAATCAATAGGTAAGGAGGTCGAATTCATTTATTCATAGCGACATAGTTATCTCGTCGCACCAAGTGTTCTTTTAATCTCCAAGCTTGTCATTTATATAGACAAAATTGCTTAATCACTAAGAACTGTTTGTTTTGCTAAACCCTTTATTTGCATAATTCAGTAGATCTACAAAATGAAGCTGAAAACCGTTTTGTACCTTATCCGCCCTGATCTATGATATTATGTTATTATATAGATCAGTGCTTATCCGCGGATTTGATTTCTGGCTCTCAATGTGGCTGTTATGTGTATTTTTATACATGCAAATTGTTCACGAAATTCCAATAATCCAAAAATGTCAGAATACAGAACGAACTGGACCCATTTGAAATTTAAAAGAAAACACTTGTAAGGTCACTCGGATAGTTGTGATCTAAAAATGAATAGATATACGATTGTATGAACAGGAGTTGACTCGTATAAATATAGTCGAATAAACCGCTGAAGATGACACCCAGTTGTTGCTGTCGAGCTATTTGGCGCAAAGACAGTCGGCTATATAATATTTGGAATCAAGAGGGGAGATTGTCAGCCCTCAAAACAAAGTAACACATGAAATCCAGATCAAAGTATTTTATTATGTTCAAGTGGCTCTTTTTCTTGAAATATAAAATCTGTCCATTTCACCATCTCATTAATTTTAGCAAAATGTTTTCAGAAACTTCCACATTTCGCGCCAGCCCCCGGTTTTTGCATGTTGGCAAGCTCTCGCGTCACTACATTTAGTTTGTTATTTGTTATTTTGGTGTGGTTTAAAGGAGAGGGTTTGATATTTTTGGTGTTATTGTTATTCAACCACTGCCTGCCTCTTTAAGATAGTTCTCTAATTCTAGAATGCACCGTCTTTTTATCTCTTTCCATTTTATGTGATAAGGTATATTTTCACACATGATTAGATTTATTCATTGCTGTTTATTATTGTTGTATACATAAATAAATTTATCACCCAACAATACATTCTACAGTAGATATCGCGTGTGTGATAAATTTCATAATCTACTGCGATATCTCCTGAGGAGATATCACTAGGAGATATCGCTTTACGTGAATTTGATTGGTCAGTTGACTTGAAAAGACACTACTTTTTTTATTTTCAAAGAACAATTCCTTTTTTATTAAAGGTAACTCTTTTTTTTTATTATTAAAAATGAACTATTTTTATTCAATTGACCTTGATAGAAACACTGGGTCAATATAAAGGACTTTGCAATGGTTGAACTGCTGTCAAAAAATGATTTATCACTACGCCGTAATGTAATCAAGTTCAGTAAAAGTGAAATCTATAGCAAAAAATTATATTTATTTATTTTTGCATGTACTCATTTTTTTTTCGATAAAGTAAAAAAAAAAAAGACTCGTAGGAGATTCTCTATATATTGCGAACACTATTATATTGACATATTACAGAGTTGCCACTTTAAATGGGAAGTTCCGGAAATATTTCAGGGAATAAAACTGAATAATTTGGTTGGAAGACTCTTGCAAACTAGCCAAAACGCTGTGATACTTTTTCAAGGAAATACAAACCTTCAGATTTCATGTGGGGGTGGCCAAACGTCCCAAAATTCCCTACCGCGAAACTGCCTGGATAACCATCGATAATATATAGTGGTAAGAGAACATCGTTATTATCAAGTCACTTATATAATTAGAGATTGCGATTCCATAAATGAGTTACCTAACCCATTTAAGAGACGGTAAATAGGCCTTGTTGTCTGATTGTTTTCATTTCGATTCCGGTATCCTATGAAATATGGCACGGAAACTGGGACGGTCCCTTTAAATATGTTAAAAGTTGATAATAATATCCAAATTCATTTGGACAGCCACATTATAAACTGAACAAAAAACAATATTTCATTATGGAACCTATACTGATCGTCAACGCATTAAATAGTCTATCCAGATTTCACGTCCCAGATCGTTATAAACGCATTTATATCAATGCACCGGATATAAACCAACATTTCGTACAAAATCTTCGCAGCGTGTTGATAACACAGTTCACATTTCATTCCAATGCGTTTTAAACTTGAGCCGAGTGTATGTGGCTACTATACGGACAACTATAGTTTTGACTCGATCCCTTGATGCTGTCGGTATAATATACTAGCCAATGAAATCGTCGGTTCTAATGCGTATTTTGGGATTTTTAAATATTAATTAGAAATCTCCGTTTGGTTTGCTAAAATGACTCAGCGTATTTCTCGTCCTAAATTTGGAATATATGAAAGTACTTTAGAATGATAAGGATCTTATGTTAATATTAGAATATGGTCAGTTGTCATAAACTTTAACAGCGAATTTAGTCTAGCCAGTTTTTGACTTGGTGTCCCACAAGAATCACCATTGGAAACATAATCAGAAACATCACCTCGATTACCAGTTCTGTGCTGATTATACGCAATTGTATAATATAGGCACAAAACCGACTTTGGTTTCATCAGATATGACCTACTCTATCTAAAACACTGTATTGGTGGATGAAGACAAACATTCTAAATTTGAAGGATGATAAAGAGTGAAAGTTTCGAAAATTGTTTAAAATTCCATAAAAGAATGTGCGAAGAGTGTAAAATGGTACCATTTGCATGACATAAAATTTTAGTCCGGCATAGCTAATATTTTCAAATCAATGAATTTTTCTCTATACTGGAAGGGTACGGTACAATGAGATTTTTTTTTAATTGATTATGATACAACAAAAATGTTAGTAAATGACATATTATCCAGTAAGAAGAGTATAATAATCAACGATTAGGAAATGCATTTAACGCTTATTACAACACGTCTTGGGATATACATGTACTTCAAGATAAGATCGGTGGCCGTGTTGGTTAAGCGGTAGAATATCCAGTGTCCGAATCCCGGAGATTTTCCAAGGCGTGTTCACACCAGTGAGCGGTTGCGCTTGTGGGACTGAAAAGTAAAGTGTTGCCAGGTTGTTCGGATGTGACGAAAAACCGAGCGCCACCCGTGTGCACGTTTATGTAGGAATTCGTTGGCGAGTAGGTTGAAAGGTCGCTGTCCAGGCAAAATTCTCCCCGCCCCCCCCCCCCTACTACCTAGCGTGGCACACGTCTCAAATTTACGAGACGTTGCACTTCACTCCTTTCCTTTCAGGATAAGCCCATGGTTGGAATTTTATGTCTATACGTCCCTCTAAATGTAAGCCAATGATTTTGTTTATAATGGAGGCGAGGACCATAATTTTATTTTCCCTAGGGGGTTGGATGGCCGAATGGTTAGCACACCAGTCATTGAATCAACTGGCGTGGTTTCGAATCCCCGGTTGTACGGGAGAAGGAGTAGGGTTGCCTGTCCAGCCTCGTGGGTTTTCTCCGGGTCCTCCGGTTTCCCCCCACTGCTAAAGACCCCTACGCGCAAGCGAATTATTGAAATCCCGAAATGACCTAGTCTGTGTCGAGTGGACGTTAAACCCTATTTCTCTCTCTCTCTCATAAATCATAGATAAAGAAAAGATATCTAATCTATTTGATAACATATTTGAACCTGTAGAAACGTGCACATCCCAATTATTAGTCTTTCTGGTTTAAGGATATTATATAAAAAATTTATTCATAAAGTAAGAAAATTTACAAGTTATTATTAAGTGGATATCTATATAGATTGATATCTATAGGAATATTATTATAAATATTGAGATATCTTGGCGTGTTTTAAGACAAGATTGTAACCAAGTATACCGTGTATTTAAGGTAAAAACAGTCGGTAGTGGCTATCTTTATCGACCTTCAGTCGTCTTAAACTGACGCTAACGATACCAACGGTGCCGTTTACAAAACAGATCATCAACATGGACAAAAAGGAAGCAGAACCCAAAAAGGGACACCCTGTATTTGTGTATGTTTTAGCATGTTTTGCAACTACAGGAGGTTTATTATTTGGATATGATACAGGAATAGTGTCTGGTTCCATGTTACTTATTGAAACCAAAGAAAACTTTGATTTATCCACTGTTTGGAAAGAAGCAATTGTCAGTGCTACCATAGGAGCAGCGGCCCTTTCGGCCTTGATCGCAGGATTCCTTACAGATTTTCTTGGACGAAAAAAGACCATCATGATAGCGAGTGTGGTGTTTGTTATTGGTGCCATAGTTATGGGAGCTGCTCCAGATAAATATGTTTTATTGGTTGGTAGAATAGTTGTGGGTATTGGTATAGGTAAGTAACTATTTTAACAATAATAGAGAGCGTGATATGGGGAGGACTGTACCATACACAATAATAAACAGAAATTACAAAAAAAAAACAACATACGAGCCATAAGAGAACTGTCTGATTAGGTTTCACTTAAAGGGTCAAGAACGGAAACCGGTCTTTTATTTTGTCAATAATCTGCTTTGTTTAATCCCATCGCAATCTTTTTAATGACAAACTGAACATTGAAACTGATAAATGTAATCTGTTGCAGAGGTATAATTATCTGCAAAGCTATTTTTGTCTTGTGAAAAATGGAGTCGCTTAAAACTCGGGAATTTTCTATTGAACCATTACCACAAAAATGAGTCGCTTAAATGGAAAACTTACATGACCATAATTACTGGCAAGAAGCATTCTGAAATTACTCAAATAAATTATTCGTCTTAACGCAAATGTTCCTTCATTTCGCATTTTCGTAAACTAAAAGGGAAGTGAAAAGTTTTTGCATCAGTAATTGGTTTTGATGCTGTATCATTTTTCTTGTAGAGAGGCAACTTGTTGGTATACCTCATATCCTTTCAAGAAGTTGTTCATAATTAGGGATTTATAATGTTAACATTCGAGGTGTTTGTAAATTTACACGTTAATATTTTTCTGTATTATTCTTCGAGGAAGGATATTGGACAAATTAAATCGAAGTTAAAATCCGTACACACCAAGGATATTAATTGTGTCGGCAATTTCCACCACCGACGAATAATCATTGGCCTAAGGTAAATTATGAATCAAAACCAGATTGTCCCCGATGTTTCGTCTGCTAGATGCGTACTACTGGGATACAATCTATCACCGACAAACCATCTAAGTTGCTAAATGTATTTCCAATTGCACTATGACTACGAAAAGATAAGATATATTTTATTACATAAAAAGCCCACGGTAAACAGCAAACAATTACATAAATCACATTCTCACAAAATAACATCCCAGAATAAAATATCGCGCGACTCACACGCATTCTCATAACAAGGAGTGATTTTATATTGTTGAGTCCAAAAGCGTGTGGACAAATGATAAAAATGCGCGAAGCGTTATATAAATGAAATGGGATTTAACGTCCTACTTTTCTGAACCAAACGAACTAATGAAAACAGGGAAGACATATAAAATGTTCGAGAAATGATTCTAACACAAATTTGGCTACTTGCCTGATGATGAATGAATCTGCTCAAGTAAGGAAATTGACACATTTAATCTAACTGAATAGTTTACATGGCTGCAGCATTCGTCAACGAAACAACAAACTTAAAGATACATTATGGGGGATTAGATAAAGAGCTGACAGTTCTCACTAAAACAGTTAAAAACTAGATATTGTAAAGGGAATTTGCTGAAAATTTCAGTCAAATTGATCCACTCTGATCCGAATTTTACCGATTGAATTTTCGGCCTAGCCTCGATCATCATTACTAAAGTCGGTACGATAAAAAACATAGTCTCGATTATCCATTTAAGAATTAAATCATGAATGGAAGTCGAACAGCAAATCGGAACCTAATCCATTGTAGGCTAGCGATGACATCAAGAGTTAATAATGGTCCGGATAAGTTAATTGTCTAATTAATAATTTAGATAACAATTCAGGCCTAAAGAAAGACCTGTAATAGGCAGATTTAGCTCTTGCACAATGTATGTTTAAAAATTTTCTACTTTCAAACAGATTTTTCAGTTATTATTAAAGCTTAGCGACATAATGATAATAATAATAATAATAATAAATGTCCATTTCTTGAGCGGCAAATCCATCCATAAGCATGCTCAAAGGGCTTTTAAGAGCAATAAACTATATACATATCTGTTCAACTATTTAGCCAACATATTCAAGTTTATAATTGGGATTTGAAACTTGTAAGAGTTTTCTATCTCCGAACTGTTTTAATTTTGATGATGGAATGCACAAAATATTTTGATGCTGTGATCTCAAAGTACGAGTTGGCTGAAGGGATTTCAAATCAGGGGTAATGACAGGTTAGCTCAGGATATAATCCTGGCAGCTGTAATCTGTACTTTTTAACGTTTGTACAGTAGGGCTTGTGTACTACCAGCTAGTAAACTATTACAATAGTCAATTTTAGATAGGACAAGTGGTTGAACTAATGACATGTCGCATTTCACCAAGTCACTCAATCGTTAAACAAATCATTGTATTTTCAAATGAAATGGGCCCCTGATACCATGATGCGTTCCTGCTCGATAAATAAACGAAAACGAGAGAGAGAGAGAGAGTGAGAGAGAGAGAGAGAGTGTGTGTGTGTGTGTAACAAACTATGTCATTTCGGGACTAACATATGGTTCAATTTTATTTCTACAATTCGCTTGCGCGTAGGGGTCTTTAGAAGTGAGAGGAGACCGGAGGACCTGTAGAAAACCCAAGAGGTTGGACATATGACCCAACTCCTTGTCACGCCACTTGAATCATTGATCCAACGCGCAGGCGTTAACCATTCGGTAACTCACCTCCCGTCGGGAACAAAAGTAATATAACTAAAAGCAAATCGGGTCGACAGCGGTGAAAAATCAGAGTGACATGACTTAATAATAATCAAATTAGATGATTAAGATATATCACGATTGTTTGGGTTATCAAAGCACGAAATAGATAAAGGTGACTAACAACCTAACAGAAACGCGCAATGAGTTCGAAGCCACAGACATCATGGGTCGTTGACATGACCATCACCGACTTTTTTTTTTGGGGGGGGGGGGGCTGGCGACTCTGGATGCTTCCATTGTTTACACAGAATTTTGGAGCTTGGTTGAAAGTGATGAATTCAGGTCGCGTCCACGGTTACGAATCTGACCCCAACAATATCAGGATCTGCTTTAAAACGGCGCAGAATGTCACTGGACACCAGTAATCTGGCACGTTAAGGGCTTTGCCACCCATCTTGCAGAAACTTTTGTCATTCCGATCTCAATGGCGATAATGTGCTCTACCCTTTCATGAGAGATGCCCACAACAATGGCAATATGTCGAGTGGTCAATCGTCGATCAGCCATCACCATGTCATACACCCAGGTAATGTTTTCGTGAATGGTTATGGTGGATGACCTTCCAGGGCGTGGGTCATCGTCAAGACTTTCTCTGCCACGTTTAAATTCTGTAGCCCATGCCTTTGCTCTGGAAAAGGAAGGGACATCATCCCCTAAAGTTGAAACCATTGCGGCATGTATTTGTGGTGAGGTTAGTCCTCTCAGTTGCAGGTACTTGATGACTGTCCTATAGCGAGTTTTGTCCATTTTTGGTGATTTCAGTGGGTAAGTTCACAAGGTGGTCTGGTACGAAGACAATAATAACACTACAGTGTTGCAGTTCTTATGTCTAATATTCATTCAATGAGTACACTTATTGGTGGCAAAAGTTTTTTTCAATCGAACTGATCTATCCTTTTCAGGCTGCCCTCGTATCATAGACTATAATAGACTGTAGCACTTGGTAGCTTATCGCCAGATCATACTATCAATATAGACTATAACTAGTCTGTAACGTTTGGTAGCTTATCCAGACCATATTATCACCAGATAATATCATAGACTATAACCAGACAGTAACGTTTGGTAGCCTGTCGCCAGACCATATTATAACCAGATAATATCATAGAGTGTAACTAGACTGTAACGTTTGGTAGCCTATCGCCAGACCATACTATCACCAGGTGGTTCCATACCATACTATCACCAGGTGGTTCCATACCATACTATCACCAGGTGGTTCCATACCATGGATCCCCATCTATTGTGCCATGATGTAATATATCATATCATATTGTCAGAACATACTATCACCCGGTGTTTTCACATCATAGTCTATCAATCAAACCATAAATAGACTTTTTCCATGTTAATTTATGGTGCGATTCTGATGCACTCACTGATAGACTGTCGCAAAAAGGAACCACGTCATACGATGGACGATCGTCAGACAACATAATGCACTACTGCCGGATGGTACCATATAACAGACCTTAATTTATTGTTCCATGTGGTAACATATCATAGCCTCTCGCCAGACCATACTATCACCCGGTGTTTCCCTATCATAGAGTATCATCAAACCATATTATAATCGTCTGCCATCGTAGTGTTCCATGTTTCTGTATGTTGAAATTCTCCTGCTCATACTAATAGACTATCGGAAGACCATGTTATAGACTAACGCCATATTGCATCATATCATACCCAGGAAAAGTCTCTGACCATATACATATACTATATATTACTGTCAGATGGTACCACATCATAGACTATCTTGGGGTTGACTTTGTAATTATATTTTTTCAACACTGGAAACATACGGTAAACAAAGTAGGTAACGAATCTAGTTTACAATCCATCGCCTATGATATATTTTTATGAAGGTCGGCCCCAGATTGTATATAGTGATCAATTTATTTCACCTTCAACTGACATGGTTCATTTGACACAATTCTTTGAGCTTCATATGTAATAATACACGTTGTAAAGAGATTTACTTAAATAAAGTTACATAAGGATACACTTTCTGATAAGCATATCAAATTAACTTATATAGATATGACAAGCAGATAATTTTAACTTAGCAACATTAAATGAGAACCTTCTCGTATGTCCTCTAGTGAAAACTAAAAGTGGTGAAAGAACTTTCGCCCATAGTGGCCCAACATTATGGAATAGGCTATCAAAAAAGACTAAAGACTCTTAAAACATGACATCTTTTAAGAAATCTCTTAAGACTGAACTCTTTAAATCTGTTTACCCTTAGTGCTAATAACTATTTTGTTTATGGTAATTTTACCAGTTCGGACATTTATTTTGTTCATTCCTTGTGTTTAAATGTTTATCGTATCATGGTTATTTTTCATCTTTTAAATGTGTCTTATGTAGATAGTGCTCTTGAGCAACCAGTTTGTTGGATATTCAGCGCTTTATAAATAGATTATTATTATTTTTATTATTATTATTATTATTATTATTATAAATAT